TCACCAGAGGCCGATCACCTGAACAGCTTAATAACTCGAGTCTCTGGTGGAATGGACCCAGTTTTTTAAATAAAGACGAATCTGTCTGGCCTATACCCAAACAACAATTTTCGAATGATGTTCCAGAAAAACGTGTAGTGAATTTAGTTACTACTGTTAAATCTAGAGTTATACTTAAGGAGTGCTCGTCACTCAACAAATTAGTAGCCGCAATTGGTTGGTGTTTGCGTTACATCCACAATTTGAAGAATACTAACGATAAACGTACTGAAAGTAATCTAAGTATTTCCGAATTAAGGCAAGCAAACAACTTCATTTTGAAGCAAGTTCAAAATGAAGGTTTTACGGAAGAATTCAAGCATTTACAAAAGGGAACGCCCTTGCCCCGTAGAAGTAAACTAATTTCATTAGATCCCTTTATCGATTCAAACGGGTTGTTGAGGGTGGGGGGCAGACTAAAAAATTCGGCATTAGATTATGCGGTAAAGCACCCAATTTTATTGCCAAGCAACCATTTTGTAACTGACCTTATCATTGCACATGAGCACAGATTACAATTACATAGTGGTCCACAATCCACTTTATATTCCTTAAGGCTAAGGTACTGGCCAATCAATGGTCGAAACAACACCCGTAAAATCATTAAAAAATGTTTAACTTGCTTCAAGGTTTCACCAAGGGTAGTAACTCCAAAAATGGGCGATTTGCCAACACAACGCCTTGAACCGCTTCGCCCCTTTCTGAGATCTGGTATAGACTATACTGGACCTGTTTTAATTAAAACAGGCCCTAAGAGAAGTACAAGAACATCAAAGGCTTATATTGCGCTTTTTATATGTTTCACCACGAAGGCTATTCATATCGAATTGGTCAGCGACCTATCATCCGAGGCTTTCTTAGCCGCTCTTAATCGCTTCATCTCAAGACGAGGCAATGTTTTAGACTTATTTTCCGATAATGGTACCAATTTTATCGGAGCAAACAGATATTTGAAGGAGCTAGGTCAGTTTTTAAAGTCAAATACCTTTTACGAAAACGTTGTAAAACAATTGCGGCTGAAAAATACCCAATGGCATTTTATTCCTCCCCGAAGCCCACATATGGGAGGCTTATGGGAGGCTGGTGTAAAAACACTCAAAGGTCATTTAAGGAGAGTTTGCGGCAATTCGTCTCTGACCTTTGAGGAACTCTACACATTGTTAACACGCATTGAAGCATGCGTCAATTCGCGTCCGCTAAGCCCTTTGTCCAACGACCCCAAAGATTTTATTCCCCTGACTCCCGGACATTTTTTGATCGGTGAACCACTCACGGCACCCATCGAACGAGACCTACAAGCCATAAAGATCCCGCGGCTAACCCGGTGGCAGCGATTAGAACAGTTGCGTCAACACTTTTGGTCACGTTGGTCGCGCGAATATTTAACCCATCTGCAGCAACGCTCCAAGTGGCTTCGTCCGACCCCTCCGGTGAAGGTTGGGTCCATGGCTCTCTTAGTTGAAGACAACTTACCTCCCTTATGTTGGAAGTTGGGTAGAATCGTCGAGGTGCATCCAGGACGGGATGGGGTTGTGAGGGTGGTAAGCGTGAAAACTCGAACGGGAGTGATTAAACGCGCAGTGTCGAAAATTTGTGTTCTCCCAATGGCCAGTGACACGGACAATACTAATTGAACAAACTGAAATTTTAATCATGTTCTTGTTTAAACTTACAAATTTGTTTCTTCTCAGTATTAAGCAACTATCTGTATAATTTTCAGTTGCTATGACTTGATGACATGTACTTATGGGGTTAATCCCTATCTTAATCTCATTTACTTATAACTGTGTATATGTATATTGTTTTTTGAAGCCAGAAGCCTTCAACGGGGGCGGCATGTTCGGGCGTGAAATTGTAAGGCGCGCAAGCGCCAAATAAGAACGCTCTGAGCAGGAAAAAACTCACCCCGTATTTGAAACAGTCCACAATAAACTTCTCGAAAAGCACACGCAGACTTTTTGTACGTCAAAAAATTGCTGGCTCCACGAGCCACACCAAAGGTCCTTCGACAATTAACGGTCACCACGACCACACAGTTATCAAAGAATCGAGGCCGGAAATGAGTTCTAGAGCTCGAAATCTACAAGAAAATGTATTTCGTTAAGTTTCGAAAATGTCAAAAATTGGTCGAAATTTGAAGAAGGGGGGACCATTGGAAAATTTCAGTATTCAAAAAAGTCGTCTAAAAATTGTGAAAAAATTCAGGGACGTAGATGTCGACATGCTGATTCCAAAATATAGCATGTTGATGGTGACGGACGAACATTTTCGAAAGAATCGGTAAGAAATGCGAATGTTTCAAAATTTCTAAAAATTGGTCGAAATTTGAAGAGCTGTCAGTCATTGTTGGGCAAGACTCTATTCGAGGATATTTTATAGTTTTTCACATGACTTTATCGTTTATCTGAGAAACATCTTGTGACATTGTAGATCAAGGCAAACGATTTTGCAACGGAAGCAGATTTACAGTGTTTTGACGTTGTCCAGATTTTATCTCATAATTATTAATTAAATTTACATATATTTCGGATGTAGTCAAAGTGTTTTAGGTTGTCGTATTTATTTAAATTTTTAAATAAGTTCTTTTGTAACTTGCTGGTTGAAAGATTTTTTTTAAATCTATACCTTGTGTACCCTATCATATAAAAAATTTGATAATAAATTAAACAAATTAAAAAAGTCAGGTTATTATTGATACCAACTAAAATTCATACGCTACCTAACAATAAAGACACGCTTCCTTTGTGACGTAATTTGTGCAGCACTGCACCTAGCAGTAAAAATTATTGATCGTTTTGCAAGAATTTAAGATCCGACGAGAATTTTAAATGTTTTACATTGTCATTTTAACAGTGGAATGTAAAGTTGAATTCCACTTATTCTTAAACCGAAGTTCATGCTTTATACAACATGTTTCGATTTGTTTGTTTCTCCCGTGTGGTAAAAATCGTTGAGCAATCTCTGGAAAACACAACGCACACAAACTCCTGAAACGATAACCTAGTTGATTCAGCCATGTTCCGTTCCAACTTTGCGACCTTTATTACCCCAACTCCAATCAATTCCAAGCTAATACCCCATCTCCCCTTTTTTTAATTTTCTCCGCTCCACAAAACTTTAATAGATCTTCCTCTTGTAATTGCCCCAATCCCAACTCAATTTCATTCCACACAAGAAAGAGTTATTTACATCGGTTCAACACGTCTAAAAATAATCCTCCAAGTGTACACACAGCCTTCAACGCGAGATGAAACTTTACTATTATTCCGGTCAATGTCATCCACAGTCATTCATCCATGTAAGGACCGGCCTTTCAATACCCCACTGACAATTTCGGGTGTGACCGTCTGAAGATAACAATGACTTAATGGTCTTAATAACGAGGAAAAATTGACGGTTTTATCTTGCAGACGACAAGAAAGCAGCTGTGTTTTTTATTGCATGATATTTCCTGCTCCTGAAATTGATAGCAGACATTTGTTTCGGTGTCGGAAGAGAGAGTTTAGTACTAATTATTACTAAAATTTGGTGTCGGTGCCAAAATAAATGTGAGCTCTGGAATAAATTATAGTGTGAGAAACTCTCAAAGAGATGGAAATCTGAGAGAGAAATATTTATGGCGGCGTGTTTTTTGGATGTGAAAATAAAATTCAGATTCTGGCTTGAAAGACAAACAAATTCCCTTATGGAGTTTGTTTGCGCGTTTTATCTGTATGAAAATCATAACTAGTGATGTCATATCAGTTTGAATAGGAGATTGGTGAGTAATTTTAGTTTCATGTGACTGATATCACGGTACATCAGAATTTATGGTTTTCACGTGTAGGGCAGAAATTATGGTAAGTTTTTTCAGAGAGAAATTTTAACTTTTAAAATTTCGAAATCGTGCATATACAGACCACTGCAAGCGACACCCGTTGGTTTGTAAAAAATTGAAAATTAGAATTATTGTAAAAATTATTCAGCAATTGTTTAAAGAAATGATTGTAAAGTCTTACGTTTCTCTTCCTAATTAATGAAATGTAATTAATTAAAATTAATGATTACTCAGGTTGTAACTAAATCATACTATCTGAAGTGCACTGGTTGTAACGCAAAATAATTTACTAAAATTAGTGACGAACTTACTAATTCACTCTTTGAAGTATTTCTAATTATACGTAATTTATAATTACAAATGTTGATTCGTTGCTTTATTCGAAAAAAATTAAGAAAATATGTTCAGAATTATTTTTCTACGAGGTTCCTATTTAGTTAATTACCAGGATTCATGAATTATTAACACACTAATTTGATTCCATAACTCTGTTAGCAGATAACAATGCATTTACCCCACTTGTAGCGTAAGTAACAAGTTCGTTTTTATCTACAAAGTAACATTAAAAATAGCATATTTGTCAAATTCTGCTACTGATTCATTGAAAAGTCATTTGATTGTTGAAAGAGTCAGGTCACGTATTATATTGGTTAGGAAAAACAATAAACCGCTGGCAAATAATAATTAGCTTGTAATCACTGTTGTAACCCGAGGCTTAACCGAGAAATACAACGCGAACGTAAATGTAATTTTTTTATGGACCGAGGGATTTGCTAATTTCAAAGAGAATTTTCCTCTGAAGGGTATTTCACAGAATTATTTCAGTGTAAAGGAAAATTACACGAGATGCAGACAACTGAAAATAACGAATCATTCAGAAATCACTTCCAAATTATATTACAGTTGTCAAAATATAAAAACCCTAGGTAATGCTTGACAGACTCGTAGTTCCGTCAATATTCTATAGGTGGCTGTGACGTTCTCTAGTAATTATTTCATGTTTTTGTTCATGCACCGATAAACTAATCAATATATTATTTTCTCAATAGATAATTGCTTTGTTCAGACTTGAACTTTAACTTTCGTTTTATGTTCTGACCTTTTTTTTTCTAAATTAGGCCTGCAATAACAAGTGATTAATGGTTTCTACGTGATTAATTGTGCATGTCTATTTTTAAGGTTCCCGCGATTTAAACAATGTCGACTTAAATTACTTTCGTTAAAAATCTAATATTCTCGAGCCATTATTTCGCAACAGAGCGTGTTAACAACTACAAGCCATAAAACAACCCAAAACCGTAAAATTTCATTCGACAAAAAACCATCGAAACTCTCTTCAACTGGACTTCTTCGATCAATCGAACCTTACTAATCGCCAGTGAAAGGACTCCAAACCCCGAAACTCAACCTTTCAAATCCTCGTTAGTCCGAGCACAGCCTCAGCAGGAATGCACAAATCGTATCGATCTCGCCTTCTTCCGGATGCATTTTCCTCCTCTCCACGACTCATAGACTCCTGTCTGCTGGAGTCGGACTCATCGCACAATTTAGGCTCGGAATCGGCGCAGTCTCATTTCACTCCTGCATTGCACCACGTCCCAGACTCGAAAGAAACTTCATCCTGTGCGCGAGACTGTGAGTGTGATTGTGGTGTGTTCGCTCGACTAATTTTGTGGTGTGTCGTTGACTGCGAGGAAGGCGAAGTTTGTGCATAGTTTGGCCGGGTTGGTATGGACTTGAACCTCAGGAGATAAGGGTGAAGGGTGAGTGTGTTGGGGTGTCAGGAGCTAAAAGTAGTGGGTTATGACTATGAGGATAAATGTCTATATTAATAATAAAAGTGTGCGTTTTTGCGGTGTGTCCAGGGCCGGCTTAGACGGCCAAGGAAGCAGTTGGGTCAGGTCGCAGATTTAGGGGCTAACTTGACATATTGGACTTTTTTATTTCTAGCTAATTTGATCTTAAAATATACTTGCAAAAGTGTGGAAACTCCCCTTGTCGCGACTCTTATCACGTGATGGAATATTGAGCCGAGAGGAATCCTCGACCGATGGACTTCCCCGATGTTGTTTCAGTGTCTGTCAAATTGTATTTTTTGAACGCTTCATTTTCACTTTAGAGTAACGTTTTTAGAAATTCTAGGGTTTTCTAAGTTTTCACTACAGTATCCATGTATACATATCTAATGGTTTATTGTTGTAAATGCAGAGGATTTGCAGTGGTTGAAACATAAAACATGTAGTTGGTACGACTGATTTAAAAATGACACAAGGTCCTCTTCAAACACTTTGGTTGTCAGACTTGAGTAACGACAAATCACTTTAAAATTAATTAAGAATTTAGTTTGTCATGTGATGGAAAAAAGTCCTCTAGTGAGCCATGAAATTTATAATTAAACTGATAATGTTGGTATTGCAGCTATTTGACACTTTGTTTGACATCTATTTAATGGTAACTGTCAAACTAAAAGAAAACGTGTTAGTGTTGCCAACATAATTATTTAAAAAATAAATTTCATGGCCTACTAGAGGATAAACTAAGGTTGGGAGTGTACGTCTGATCTGAAAATTACATATAACATTCAAAATAATTATTGGATAATAGCTGCTGTTACGTAAACATGGACGTTTAAATTTAGCATAGGTAACACAGCACTTATTTTTTAGCGATTTGCAGTGGACTGAACCATTAAACTTGTAGTTGGTACGACTGGTTTAAAATGACACGATTTGCTTGAAATTTCACACATCTGGTTATTATTGTACAAAATACACCCCAAAGAACACTTAAACGTGCACGTATTCATTCCTCCTATAACCGGAAATTTAATTATGCCGTTCATGAGCGACACGTGACACTCTTCCGATATCGGTTCCCCGCATCTGATTGCGGTTTCTTCGCAACAGGTGTTCCATATTTTTCAAAATATGTTTAGTCGGAAACCGAACGTGCCACTTTCAGCCATGTTAATTTTAACATCGTGTTTCAGCTGTTACTCACAAAGCAAAAAATACCTCACGAATAACCGCAGAATTGTCGGCTTGGGTTTCGACATCTCGCTTTTATAACCAAATCCTAAATAAAAATTTTATCGCCAGAACTAAAAGCAACCGAAACAGCCCCAATTGATGGCAGCCGACAATGATCTTTAATGTCACGGCTAAGTTCCGACATTTATTTGCGGATGCGTTAGTCATCCAATTGTCGATTAACATTAGCGGCGGGTACATTGTACCATTGTTGCGTGCGATTTTTGTTAAAGAGAAGCGAGGGAATTATTACGTAAGGACGATTATAAGAAAATTACGTGGTTCTGAAGAGTAGAATGTTAATTGGGGGTTTTGGGGTAATTTAACGTCAAAGCTAATAGTTTACAGATTGGTCGGTGCGGGGAGGTGGGAAGTTACGCAACTTTGAGGCCCGTGTGCTGTTCATGTGGCACTAATTGTATTTGTTGCGTGTTATCGCAGGTGGCTGATAATTGCGACCTGGAAAATGGCAGAAAATGTCATTGGTAACTGCGTGAAGTTTGCTAAGTAATTTATTTCTGGCATTTCTTGCGTTTTGTTAATGTCTATATGAAGTCTGTTTTAACTCAATTGTTTCGTAGCTGCTTTAGATGCAAACTATTCTTGATTAAAAGAGGGAAGCGATACAATTGCAAAATAGGGTTCCTGGATATTGTTAGTAAGCGGTGTATGTATACACTGTAACGTAGCCAGGCCTGTACTTTCTTTCCGGTGATTCATAAGATGTAAATTAGGAAGTGTAGTAAACATCATAACAACTAAATGATGAAAAGGCGATAGGCATGTACCAAATAAAGCAATCCCACGAATACTAATCCAGCAATGACAATATCATTTTTATTTATTTGTCATTAAAATCGTGTTCGGTTTAGATTAGTCTAAATAGGTAAGTAATTGAAAAACAAATTCCAACAAACTGAAAAATTTGTTCTTGTGGATATGACATTTCGTTTGTACTGCATTAACTTTTACTACCCTAGCGTGACTAACCGCAAACCCCAATAAAAGCTTGTATACAGATAAGCTTATCTGTGTCAAAATGTCTATGTTTGTCGGTCAAGTCGGTTATGGAAGAGTTGTCAAAAGTGTCATCAAAATTTGCCGCTTTGTAGAAACGATGAATATATTTATTTAAATTTGAACTGCTGGTTGCCTACATCGCAAACGCCATAATTAATTAAAAAAATAATTTGAATTTTTGAAAGAAAAATATTGTATTGAATAATGTAAAGTTTGCAATTGGTAAAGGTTGTCAGATTTGAATAACAACGTGTTGGAAATTGACGTAACGTCATTTTGAAATCAGGAGTGCCAATCGAGGGCCCAAACCAACCTAAATTAACCAAGAGTCAATATTTATTTATATGAATGTAATTTATTAAATTGTATTATTAATTTGTAATGCTTTTCCACTCCGAGTCGGAAGTAAAAATCGTTAAAAATACAAGTGTAGCAAGGTTTGTGAGTGGTACTTTTGTACGTCTGACGCGTATTCGCCTACGACATAATTAATCTAGACTCTAAATTTTCTGCTGACCCTTTTTATAATAAGCACAACATCCTAACATCCCTTATAACTCGTTGAGTGGTTTCTATTTAACCCATTTCATTTCACTTTATACCCCCCTGGAGTCCATTCCTACACTACTCTCAAACATCGTTTCATTTCTATTAATGTCTAATGAGTTTTTCTGTCTTTAAATGGAACATCTTGTTATTACATCCCTGCATTCCGGCTAATCTTCTGCAAACATCTGCCATTCTTTTCTGCTCGTTTTTCTTGCGTGGAGGGACACAGACTCATTAATATTTAGCTATTTGAAACACGAAAATGTCTTACGTCCCTGCCTCACGTAAATACGACTTTGACCTTCACCCTATCTAAATCGATATAGACTTACGGTAGGAGACTGTGACATCGGCCAAGTTTTTGCATTTATTGGGGGGCACATGGTCGTAACTGCACGATCTCGGAGGTAATATAAATAGACGAAGGTGGCTCTTGTTTATGGCTTTCATAAGTATCGATTTTGGGGCGAGCGGTTTATAGTCGGCGGATCAAGATTTGTGTTGGGGCGGTTTGGGAGTCCGGGTTTCGTGTTTAATGAGCTGCATGGGGGATTAAAGACCTAGTCGAGTTACTGACCGCGAGTTTGGTACCTAAAACACATAAATAACTGGATAATGCTTGAACAACCTCCTTGGTAAAGATCCTCGTGTCATTTTTAACCACGTTGATTTGATAGTTGGGTGAACTAGAACGGTCTATGTATGTTTCTGAGCATCCCAAAACAAAAACGGCCTCCAATCAATATTACAGCCACTGAAAGACATTTCTAGGACAAGTAAACGCCATGAGTCATCGATTTTTCAGTTTATTATCAGCTAGAAGGAAACTATTCAAAGCCGGCGAAAGTTAATAATTTTTGACAACGTATCATTAGCGATTTCTCTAATTATTCGAGTCTCGAGTGGGCGTATTATTGTATTCAAAATTCTAATTTTGCGGATCTTCCTACATACTTATTTACAAAGCAATCAGCTAGAAAACCGTTGCAGTTGACCACCATCTGTTTCGCCTCGCCGCACTTAATAAATAATTGCGGCTTCATTCGTCATCGTACCATTTTCCCAATTATTAATGAAATTACTCCTCTCTGTCGCATCATCCATTTAGAAACAGCACCAGACACCAAATGCTCTTAATGATGTAGATCTATCTATAACGGAAGCCGTTCTAGCTCCATACGAATCCAACAAAAATAGCACCGCGACCATATGTCGATGTTTTATTTATTTTACGTTGTTTTTCACTATAGTTTACTGGTATCAAGTTATGTGCGATTTTTACTCGGCTTTTGTTTGGCCGGAGCGCGGTTAGAACAACAAATAGATAGGATTTCACACGGTGTTTATTCCACTTTTTAATTAATGCTGCTTGTTTCAGAATGACGAAGTGAAATTTAGAAGTTCTTCCTATAAAATGGAACCCCTGCTGGCGGGAAAACAGCACAATGGCTCATCAACGAACGTGAGTTGTTTGTTATTTTGGGACGGATCCATTTGTTTTCTAAAAACGGTCATAGAAATTAATTTCGGATTAAGAGCTCTCGGAGTGATTTATTGCGAGTTGAGAGATGCGCGAGATTAATGAGAACACTTTAAATGTCTACAGGGTGAGGCAGTAATAACTCATTAATTGTATTAAAGATACAGCGTGATCGACAATTATTGTTACAGTTTCTATTTGTTTTTATGATTGGTAGGACTGTCACCCCACCTTACTTCCTGTTGTCAAAACTAAAATAGTTGACAATGACAATTTCAAGTGAATCGGATTAATTTAAAATATATATGTATGCTGTATTGAGTCACCTTGTGCATAATAAAATTTGCGATTACAAGGAATAAACTAAAGTATCTCTCAAGGACTTAAAATATTCAACGCTTCCATTCCAGAAATTTGTGCTCTAATCCTTCTTCTAAATTATTCCATAAATAAGGAATTTAGCGTTGTTACTTCAAAGATATCGTTGACAAAGCATAATAATGAACCAGCGCCAAAGAGAAGCTTGTTTTCAATTTAATTTAAATGGTTTAGTATGATCACACAATTTTTGATTAAATTACACAAGCTTCTGTATTAAGTAATTTATTCTGCTACAATTATTATAAATTAACGTCTACTTCGTCCACAAATCTCGCCTCCAACACCCAATATTTTAAACGAAATCTCCCTCAGTTTTTTTTTACGAGCGTTTTAACCAAGTTACTAAACTCGAACGTTCTGGAATCTCCAGACTTCATGATTTTATTCAATTATCTCCGAAGATTGGAGACGAAAACAGCTAAGCTCAGTCGAATAGGATGTCGAGATCGTTTTCGGATAAAATTTCATCTCAACGACTAAAACAGATTCGATTTTTTCAAGTCGTTTCAAAAGTGGCGCAGTCGGTAGGATGCAAATAACCATAACTCGATTAAAATAAATTCCAGTGTGACGGTGCCGCCACCAGCAGCGCGGACGGCGATACGACCTGCAGCGAGGACGAGTATGTCCCTGGCCGCCTCAGCGCCACCCACCTATCCGTCAGCAGCGAACCCGTGGCCCATCGCGACCACCTCTCCATGTTGTACCATGGCACGTGGCCCGTGGAACGAACCATGTGGAACTCGGACCCCATCTCGCGAACCACCGCCCCTGTACATAACCCCAACATGGTACAACCACGCAACCGCGTCACTTTAACCACCTAACTCGATTTTTGTAGCAGGACGTCACTAGCGTCATGAGCTTCGCTTCCAGCTCCGGCGGCGCCCTCCTCGGCAGCCCGAGTCTGTCCCGTCGGTCCTCGCAGCAACTCGAAGCCAAAGTCGACATGGTGTATAGTCTACTGGCGATGTTGAGCGGGCAAGAGCACGCCGATATGGGTGAAACGTTGCTAGCGCTGAGCACGAATCCGGAGAGTTGTCTGGCGATGCGCCAGTCGGGGTGCATTCCTTTGCTTGTACAGATGGTGAGGACCAGTGGGTTCGGGGATGGGTTTGGTGTGACGTCGTGGTTTTACAGGTGCAGTCGGACAAGGACCCGGAGGCTAGGAAGAAGGCGTCGCAGGCGCTGCAGAACTTGGTGCACTCGCAGCCGGACGAGAAGCTGAGGAAGAGGGAGGTTCGGGTTTTCAAGTTGTTGGAGAATACAAGGGGGTATACGGAAGCGCTGAGGAATCATAGGGAGTTCGAGTTGGAAGTTACGTCGTCGAGTTCGGAAGGTGATTGTGTTCATTGTGTGGTTTCTCCAATAATGGGGGAGGGTTGTAGATGATGATAAGCATCCAGTACAGACGGTGGCGCATTTAATGAAGCTGTCATTCGATGAGTTGCACAGGCAGGCGATTTGTTCGTTGGGAGGGATACACAGTATAGCTAGTTTAGTTGAGGTAAGTAGGAGAAAAGTAAATTAAAAATCAATGTTTTCTTTAACACGTGGTGTGGGATTGAATATAATTCGCAAATAGACGAAGTTTTTTTTTTGTATATAGTGGAAATTCAAGACCGATTTGCCACTAAGAAGGGCTTCCCGCGGTGCAAATTTTTTCACATACTGTATTACTTTTTTTTTCGTATGTCTATACAAGCTCATTTGTCGCTTTGTTTTGAAAAAGATCCAAAAAACAGGTCATTTTTATTTTTTGTCTTGTTCAGGAATTAGAAATAAATTTAATTTTAGTGACTTCAAGAAATTTTGTCTTCAGTACAAGATCATATCAATTTCCGCTTGATTAACCCATTCTAAAGGATTTTCGGAAAATTTTTGGAAATTTAATATTCGATTTTCTCGCTTTTTTCACAAGGTATCGAACCATCGACGTCAGACTTTTCATCCAAAAGCAATTCTGAATAAGATGGCAGCAATTTCCACCCCATTAACCTATTTTAAAGGTTTTTCCAACAATTTTTGGATTTTTTGAATTTAATTTTCTTTCAATTACGTCAATTCTAAAGAACTTTTGAAAAAAGGTACCGAAACAGCGATTTAAGACTTGCCGCAACGTCAAATTTTACATCATAATCTGCCCCCCAAAAATAAAAATTGACCTGTTTTTAGATTTTTCTCAAAATAAGCAACACTTGATTTATTATGGGACTCCTTTTCATTGAAAAGCCCTCAATAGAATTGTATTCAAGGCGGAATTTCTACAGGGTTATGATCTTTCTTACATCGTAGTGGGTTATGAAATACTTTCTCAGTCTACTGATTTATAACTGAAATGTTTATTTGGTTGCATATAAACAAAGAATATTTAATAAAACCGTTGAAACAAATAACAATCGTCTTTCGTATGTCTGAATTTACATGTACCCGATATGTCAAAAAAGTGAGGTTATAACCATAGATTAATATAGATGCGACATACAGGCTGATTTTGCAAAACCATTGGAGTCCTCAACCGCCAAAGGCAAGCGCCAAATTTAAGTAGTCGGTGTCAATAAAAAAACTCGTCGCCTGAGAACTTGTTTGATCTACAGACCAGAGCGCGCTCAGGCCAATGTCGACTCTAAGCGTTCAGAAGCTATTTGGTTGGTTTAGACTATAATTTCTGCGGGAAATAGTTGTTTGGTCGGTTTTTATAACGACAAAGTGAATATTTTTGGTACATATTTAGTTTAACTAAGAATATTGTTGAAATGGTTTTTTTTTTCGGGAAAACGTTTTGGAAACACTGTGTTCTATTTTGTACGATTTTTTTTTTTATGTTTTTAGTGACAATTTTTGTGGTTGTTTTCGATACACTGTATGATATTAACAGTGAGAAAAATTAAAATAATCGAAAATTCGAAAAATCGAGAAATCTAATAATAGAAAAATCGAAACCTTAAAAAATCGTAAAACCGAAACATTGAAAAATCGAAATATCGAACAACTGAAAATCGAAAAAATGTAAAATTTAAAAATCGAATAACGAAAAATCGAAACTCCCAAATTTAAAAAATGGGATAAACTGAAAAATCGAAACATCGAAAAACAGGAAAATCGATAAACTGAGAAATCGAAAAATCAAAAGATCAAGAAATTGTGGAGTCGAAAAGTCGAACAATTGAGAAACCGAAATAGGTCAAAATCGAAAAGTTAAAAATTGAACAATTTATAAATTGAGAAATTGCCAATCAAAATATCGAAAAATCCAAATCTTGATAAATCGAGAAATCAAAAAACTTAAAAATTCGAAAAATTGAGAGATTGAAAGATCCAAAGAACGTGAAATCGAAAAGTGATGAAGTCGAAAAATAGAGAAATCGACAAACAAAAAGTTAAAAGTTGAAAAATTGGAAAAGCCGAAAAATCTAAAAACGAAAAAATGGAAAACTAGAAAAACCGAGAAATCGAAATAGGCCAAAATAAAAAATTGAAAAAATGATAAATCGAAAACCTGAACAATCAAATCTCGATAAATCGGAAATGAAAAATTAACAAATCGAAAAACTGAAAAACAGACCATCTGAAACCAGGAAGTCGAAAATAGGAAGCTTAAGAAATATTGAAAAATTAAAATATCAAAAGATTGAAAAATCTAAAATTTAAAAATCCAAAAATTGAAAGATCGAAAAAGTAAAAAGGTAGACACATCGAAATACCCGGAAGTCAAAAATAGAAAAGCCGAAGAATTGAAATATGTATTGAAAAATCCTAAAACTGAAATACCTAAAAACTGAAAAATCGAAAAATCAAAAAAGTGAAGCCGAAAAATAGAAACCTTAAAAAATCGAAAAATTGAAAAATCAAAAACCTGAAAAATCAAAAAATTAAAGAATTGAAGAACAGGAAAATCGAAACACTCGAAAGCCAAGAAATGGGAAAATCAAAACAACGATTAATTGAAAAATCGAAAAATTGAGAGTTTATAAAAGTCAAATTTGAAAAATTAAAAAATCGAAAATTTTACAAAATGACAATTGAAAAACAGAAAATCTAAAACCGACTTTTTGATGTTTCATATTTTTGATTTCCCGATTTTTGAATGTTTCTTAAATTTAAGATTTTTCGATTTTTCGACATCTCGACTTTTCGATTTCCCGATTTTTAGATTTTTCAATTTTGCAATTTTTTCATGTTTCGATTCTTCGATTTTTCGATTTTTCGATTTTATAACTTTTCCAGATTTGGATTGTGGATTTTTTTTATTTCGCGATTTTTCAGTTTGTTGCTTCTTCAATTTTTGGATTTTTTACGTTTTAAAATTTTCGAGATATTGTTTTTTCCTTTTTGCTTTTTTAGTTTTTAGATTTTCAATTTCTCCTTTTCCAATTTTTCAATTTTTGGAGCTTGTGATGTTTTGATTTTCGAGTTTACTAAATTTTTGAATATTTCAATTTTTCTAATTTTCGATTTTTCAGGTATCTGCTTTCTCTATTTTTCAACATTCAATTTTAGGAATTTTTCAAATTTTAAGGAATCTTTCAATTTCCGTATTTTTCAATTTTTCCAAGATTCATTTCTCGGTTTTTCGATTTTTCGACTTTCGGCCGTTTCGATTTTTCGGTTTTCCAATTTTTCCCTTTTTCTATTTTCCAATTTTTCGACATTTCAGTTTTTGGGATTTTCCAACTTCTCAATATTTCAGGTTTTCACTTCTTCCATTTTTCCATTTTCTAAATGGATTTTTGGATTACCTATTTTTTTGATTTTTCAGTTTTTCGAGTTTACGTTTAAAATTGTTTGATGTTTCGAATTTTTCATTTTTCGACATCTCAGGTTTCCGTCTGCTCCCTTTTTTTTGATTTTTTAATTCTTCGATTTTCGATTTCTCCATTTTTTAGGTTTCCGGTTTCTCAACTTTTTAGCAAACATTTCGATTATGGGAATTTTTCAATTTCTGTATTTTTCAATTTTTCGATATTTTAATTTTTCGATTTTTTAAATTTTGAATTTTTCGATTTTTCTGATGCTTTAGTTTCGATGTTTGGCCTTTTCTGATTTCGATTTATCAGTTTTTCAATTTTTAGATTCCAGTTGGGGTAAGTGTAGTTATTTACGCCATTGGTTTCTACTTAATATTGATTATCAGAATATACTCTGAATTTTTCCACAATTTTTGAAATTTAATTAAATACATTTTCTTTCGATCACCAGAACTAGTTCATTTTGTCAATTTTTGGATTTTTCAGTTTTTGAATTTTTTAATAAGTATTTCAGTTTTTCGATGTTTAATTTCCCGATTTTTCAATTTTTAACACTTCAATTTTTCAATTCTTAGCTAATTGAATAAGTCGAAGAATCGAAATATTGAAAAATCCCAAAACTTAAATATCGAAAAACTGAAAAGTGAAAGAAAAACTAAAAATGGAAAACTAAATCGGCAAATCAAAACATTGAAAAATCGAAGAATTTAAAACGACAATTGAAACCAGAAAATCTAAAACCGGTAAGTCGAAAAATCGAAAGATTAAGCGATCGAAAAATTGAAAAATCGAAAAAGTAAAAAATCGACACAACGAAAACTCCAGAAGTCAAAAATCGAAAAGTCGAAGAATCAAAATATCGAAAAATCTCAAAACCGAAATATCGAAAAGCTGAAAAATGAAAGAAAACCTGAAAAATCCGAAAACTGAAATATCCAAAAACTGAGAACCTAAAAAGTCGAGAAATTGAGCAATAGAAAAATCCAAAAAGTGAAGTCGAAAAATTGAAACCTTAAAAAAATTAAAAACCTGAAAAATCGAAAAATTATAGAATTGAAGAACAGTAATATCGAAACCCTCGAAAGTCAAGAAATGGGAAACTCAAAACATCGATGAATTAAAAAATCGAAAAATTGACAGTTTATAAATGTCAAATTTGAAAAATCGAAAATCTGAAAAAACGACAATTGAAAAACAGAAAATCTAAAGCCGGGAAGTCGAAAAATCGATTGATTAAGAAATCAAAACATTTGAAAAATTCGAAAACTTGAAAAACTGAAAGATCGAAGAACTGAAATGAACAATCGAGAAATCGATAAATCTAAAATTTTAAATACTGAAAAATTAAAATATCAAAAAACTGAAAAATCTAAAATTTAAAAATTGAAAAATCGAAAAACGACAATTAAAAAACAGAAAATCTAAAACCGGGAAGTCGAAAAATCGAAAGATTAAGACATCGAAACATTTGAAAAATTGAAATATGGAAGAGCTCAAATGAAAAATCGAGAAATGGAAAAATCTAAAATTTTAAACATTGAAAAATTAAAATACCAAAAAATTGAGAAGTCTAAAATTTAAAAATCGAAAAAGTAAAAAGCCGACACATTGAAAAATCCAGAAGTCAAAAATGGAAAAGTCGAAGAACAGAAATATTTAAAAATCCCAAAACTGAAATATCCAAGAACCTAAAAAGTCGAAAAATTGAACAACAGAAAAATCCAAAAAGTGAAGTCGAAATATCGAAACCTTAAAAAAATCGAAAAATTGAAAAATCAAAAACCTGCAAAATCGTAAGATCGAAAAATTGAATAATAAGTAAACTGAAAAATCCCAAAACTGAGAAATTAAAAAATTGAAAAATTGAGAAATAGAAAAATCAAAAAAGTGAAGTTGAAAAATCGAAACCTGAAAAAATAGAAAAATTGAAAAACCAAAAAACATTAATTGAAAAATCGACAAATAGAGTTTATAAAAGTCCAAAAATTGAAAAATCGAAATATTTAAAAATCGTAAAATTGAAGAGAAAAACTGAAAACCGAGAAATTGAAAAATTGTAAAATCCAAAAATTAAAAAATAAATAGGAGTAAACTGGAAAGTCCCCAAACTAAAATTTAGAAAAACTGAGAATTCGAAAGTTGAAACAACAGAAATTATAGTCGAAACCGGTCAGGATCATGACTTATAAATCAAATCGTTTCCGAACGCTTAGAGTCGACATTGGCCTGAGTGCGCTCTGGTCTGTAGATCAAACAAGTTCTCAGACGACGAACTGTAATTCGTGTGACCTGAATTAAAATGAAGGAAAAAGTAAGCAGCCTGTAATATTCTGGTAAATCTAGTGTCAATTTGTCGAAAGTAAAACGCGCCGTTAAAAATATTATAACATTTTTTCTAGTTACTTTTATTCCTAGTTAGAAACAAACACTGTTGCCAACATAAGTCGAGGAGTCCTCAACCGGCATTTAATTTAAACTATGACGCTTCTCTATGTTCTCTGTTATAACGAAGTGTTATGATGCCAACTGAACGGACACTTATAGCCACCGTAGTTTATTTTCCGCTTCATTTCTTCGAAAATCCATCGTTTTTCCAAAATCGACAAGAAAAATGACAATTTTTAGGATTTGTAACCGAATATTTCGAACATTTTTTGATGGGAACAAATCGTTGAAGAGACTGAAATTAAATTTATTTTTTTAAGCAACGACGTTGTAGCTAGTTGCCAATATGTATTATTTGACAGTTATTGAAGTCATGTTGATGTTGCCAACATAGTTTTTTTTAACATTAAATTTCAAAAGTTTCTATAGACGACTTTTTTTTAATAAATTAAATGCGACTGTGGTCAAACGTCAAATCCTTTTTGAAGCCACCTACGATGTGACATTATCATAACCCATAACTAAGAAGCGCTTTCCACGGTGCGACTTCTCCGTTGTTGCCCAAAAATCCACACTTTCCACACGTGTGACTTTGATTTTCTCCACCCCCAGGCCGAACATGTAAATCACGGAAGCACCGCCGACGAACAGCACTGCATCCTCATGCGTAGATATGCTTGTATGGCCCTCACCAACCTCACGTTCGGCGACAGTGGCAACAAAGCTTTATTATGTTCCTTTAGGGAGTTCATGCGAGCACTAGTTATCCAATTACAAAGCCCTAGTGACGAGCTGCGCCAGGTATACCAACCTCCTCTCCCCAAAAACCCCAACTAAACCCACCCGTGTTTAGGTAACCGCCAGCGTTTTGCGAAACCTGTCGTGGCGGGCGGACTCCACCAGCAAAGAAATCCTGCGTGAAGTCGGCAGCGTTACCGGGTTAATGAAAGCCGCCATGCTAGATAACAAAGAAAACACGCTCAAGTCAATTCTGTCAGCTTTGTGGAATTTATCGGCACACTGTACCGAAAACAAGTCGGAAATTTGTTCGGTAGAGTGCGCTTTAGGGTTTTTGGTTGACATGTTGACGTATAAAACGGTGTCGAAGTCGTTGGCGATTATAGAGAACTCGGGCGGGATTTTGAGGAACGTTTCGAGCCAGATCGCCGTCAGGGATGACTATAGGGAGGTTTTGAGGCAACATAATTGTTTGCAAATTTTGTTGGATCAGTTAAAGTCCCCTAGTTTGACTATCGTGAGTAACGCTTGTGGCACTTTGTGGAATCTGTCGGCAAAGTGTCCACAAGACCAGGAGGCGTTGTGGCAAATGGGGGCACCTGCGATGCTTAGAAGTTTGAACCACTCAAAACACAAAATGATCGCGATGGGGTCAAGCGCGGCTTTGAAAAATTTGTTGAGTGCAAGGCCTACTCAGACCGTCCCGACTGTACTGGATTCGACAGCTTTAGCTATGGACTTACCAGTGTTACCAACGCTAGGAGCGCGTAAACAAAAGGCCCTGTTGCAAGACTTGGACCAAACTCTCTCAGAGACGTACGAAAACATAGAGAAAGACTCACCTGTTAAAACCAAAGACGATAAACACATCGCTGCAACGACGCACGATTTTATCCAAAAATCGAAGAAATACAGTAGACAATCTAGCGACAATAGTCCTGAGTTTAAATATAGCGACTACGAGACAGATTTTTGTAGTTTGACTGAAGGCGAACCGTCGACCAGTTACGAGACCAAGCAAAATTTAAGTTTGCCTTATTTAGATAATTCGGTTAGTAGTAACGATTTGAATAAGAATTGTTTCGTGAAGAGTAGACGCAATGCGTCGGAAAACGACAATCGAACTTTTAATGTCTACTCAGATTCGGGCTTACAGTCACTGGAATCCCCCGTCAAGTTCGACCTAGATTCGGGTTCAACGAGCTCAATCGATAACGATAAGTGTAAAAAACAGTTCAAGTTGAAGGAAGTTAGCGTGTACTCAGACGAAAAGGATCATTGCTCGATCGAGGACGTTTCGGACTCGGACAACCAGTCATCGTTAGGATTTGAACACAAAGTCCACGATGAGTCCAGGTTTGTAGCAAGTCCGAGTGAGCCCTCGATGATTTTGTCGTTGCAGTTTTTTATCCAGCGGGTTGATCGCGCGCAAGGAAGTTCCACATTCTTCGGGGTTGTCCACCCCCACGTTACCCCACCCGAACTTCAAGTACCCCAACCTGGCTTCGTCGAACGTCACGATGTTTGAAGGGAACATCGACGAAATCGACATGGACGACATTTCGATACACTTCGCATCAGAAGTGGGTTAACTCTCACATATATATGTTTAAAAAAAAAACTGATTTCTGCGTTGCAGCAAAGCAAAGACGGCGACGATGACACCGAAAAGCGCGACGTCGAAAACGAGAAAAAGTCGCACCTCCAGGAAATCGTGGAGGAGTCGACGAGCGAAAATCGGCGACTTACTTTTCCGAAGACCTCGGCGAGGGGCAGCGGGATTCCACTTCCCAGAAGTTTACCACGACCTATACCCAATTCAAACGTCAATCATCAGACTATCGACTTAGATTCGCCGGAACTACCAGTCGCGAAAAAAATTAACAAATCAAATATCGCTCGACTTTCTTCGGGTTTGCCACGACGGAACTTACAGACGAGCACACCCCTTAGGATTACCGGTAATGCGCGAAGGGGTGAGGGGTCAAGCGAAGCCTTTAAAGTAGAAAATATTGACATGGGTGATGATAGTTCAGTGTCGCCTATTGTTAAGACGGACGAGTCAAAAGTGACGTCGACAGACATCGAGTGAGTCTCGTTTTATCATCATTATTATTATTATTATTAATAATGTGTGTTCGTAGTTGTAGTTTACCGGAGGTGGAGTTTTCAAGCAGCAGCGACCAAAGTAAGTATACTTAAAAAAAAAAAAAAATAATAATAATAATAATGATGATGATATTTTTGTTTGTAGCTAACCTAAGTCCACAGGACCTCCACCACCACAAACCCCCTCCCACCCCACTCAACTTCGACCAGATGGAGAAACCCAAAGTGTCCAGCCCCACCGACTTCTCCTACCTCAGTCCAGAAGCCTGCGTCAACTTTAACCTAAAGCACGACCGCGACCGCCTCCTGGAGCGCAGTTGCGAGGAGAACAACCTCATGGACAACCGCATGCTGGACCCCGACGCCATGATCGAGTCTCTGGACCGTTTCACGGCCGAGTTGGTCTCGCAGGCGTCGCATTTGCAGAGTAACGGCGAGGATAAGTACAAGGATAATACGTGGAACGAGGATACGTCGCCTAACGAAGTTACTTTTCCGAGTATTTCCGGGAGTGCGCCGAACGTGATTACTTTCGGGAGTAACGAGTCGTCGGTGCCGGAAACCAGTGACGAGAAGGAGAAGGAAGTGGAGAAGGAGAGGGAGAGCGAGCATCAGTCGAACGACTTTTCGTCGATCAACACGAACACGAGCACGATGACGGAGTCGACGCTGATTGCGATCGAGGCGACGAAGATGGCGACGGTGAGTGTGGGAGTGGGAGCGGGGTGAAGTTGGGTTCGGATTTGGTTTTTCGATGGTTTTCTTTAGATAGTTCTTCTGTCGGTCGACGACTGTCTTCCGTTTTTCGATGGTTTGTTGGATCTATTTTCTGTCAGTAGCTGTCTTCTGGTGGTTTTCTTTCAGTGACTTTTTCGTTTTTCAATAAACTTGGTCTCTCCTTCGACGGCCTACTTTTCTCTTCTGACTTTCCTTTTTTCTCATTCCATGGCCCTTTTCTCTCTGTCGATGCCGAATTTCTCTTTCAATGGCCCTCTTTTATCTTTCGGCGGCCACCTTCTATCTTTCGATGGCCCCTTCTCTCTTTCTATGGCCCTTTCCTCTTTTGATGGCTTTCGTCTCTCTTTCAACGGCCCTCTTCTTTCTTTCAATGGTCTTCTTCTCCAATTCTATATTCCTCTTCTCTCTTTCGATGACCCTCTTCTCCAATTCTATATCCCTCTTTTTATATTCCTGATTCAAATCAAAATCGATTTAAGTAAACAAAACACGAATCCAAATCCAAATTCGAAGCTAACTTCACCAATCAAACGCCGTCCGTTAACATCTTCAATTTTATGACGTCCCGCACCAAAAACGAGCTCGCTTTCGGTGCGTCACGTTATTCTATTAAATGAAGATAACAATTACTGCGAACATTTCCACTGTATTGTTTTGTTTGTGTTTACCAGGTGTTCAAAACCGAGGCCGAAATGTCGCACAGCATCAGCAGCGTCGCGTCCTTGGAACTAGACAAAGTCCAGCCGCCATCTTTACTGGACTCTATGAGTCTGGACCTAACCAAAAGCCCGAAGTTGACAGCGCGCAAAAAATCCCTCCCCAAAGCACTGATGGTGAAAAGAGCCCTCAGCAACTCGCTGAACAACGGTTCCAGTTTAGAAAGTCTCGAGAACCACAGTTTATCCAACCTAGATCAAGTGAATCCCCCATCGGCAATGGCCGAAGTACTCGACATGGAAGGCAGTATCACCAGTGTTGCCAGTCTACCGAGCGAAAACAACGAACTTAAAACAGATTTCGTTATTAACGGCTCGGTAAACAAAAACAACTCGTTCTTAACGTCGAGACTGAGTCACGTGGTTAGCAACGTTTCGAACTTGAACAGTGTGACGGATTTGGAGAACATCAATCCGCCGTCTTTGTTTAACGAGATCACGGATTTGTGTAACTCGTTGGCTGACGTTCCCACGGAAGCTATCGGTAGTGAAACCGAGATGTTTGAGGATTGTCACACTCACGTGTTACCGACGGAAGATGACGTCACTGAATTCTCGGACGCTAATAGCGCGACGCCCATTCAGTCTGACGTCAGCAGCCCGGAAGTGTCGCCCAAGAAGAACAAGAGTATTAAAAAGCCGATGACGTTGAAACAGAGGCGAAATTTAGCGCGCGATCGATACAAGACTTACACGATAGCGGCGGAGATGTTGACACGAGAGGAAGATGAAAAACAGTCGACTTCGGAGGATTTTAACACCGTCAATTGTTCGCCAACCGAGAATTACTACTCGGTGATTGATACTCATACGTATAGTGTGAAGAGCAGCGAGAAGTTGACGCCGAAGCAGAAACGACAGAATGACAGGTCGAGGTTTGAGACTCAGGTGGTGGAGGAGGCGGTGACTGAGTTGTTGCAACAACCGGTGATAGAGAGCAGTTCGCCGAGGGAGGAGAGAGGGGATGAAACGCCGCAAAGTAGTCCTGGGGGAAGTCCGGCCAGAACTAAATTGAGTATAAGGAGGAATTTTATGCAGAAGAGGTTGGAAAATAGGGATAGGTTTAAAACGCAGACTTTGACTGAGGCGAGTTTTTCTCCGGAGTTGTCGGCTTCGCCCGAAGCTGATCTGCATTTGCTGGTACAAAGGGAGGCTAATTTGGTGCTGAAGAGTTTGAGGGAGACTAAAACTAGTACGGACGAGTTGCTGGAATGCGAGACTTTGAGTCTCGTGTCGAATGACGACGATTCTGAACATAATTCAGGTAGGTGGTGGCTCAAAATTTTTGGTTTATTTTGGGATTATACGGAATTAATCCATTTCCCAGAAGTACTTTTTTCTAATTGTAAACAAAAATTGGTTTTTTAAATTTTAGAGATTTTATCGTGGTTGGTACGACAAATGTCAAGTTGTAACGTTTGAAGTTTAAATTTTCACAATAATAATAGTTATTTATGTTACAAGTGTTGAAAACGGTCCATTGCATTACGAACGGGAATACGGCGCGAGAGTACAATATTTTTTGCGCTGCCTTTTTGAAAAAATAACATTTTTCAATCGCTAAAAGAATAAATATTACTGAACCGAAATTATGTTGGTATTGAATTTATCACCAAATACGTCAAATACCAATCTGTCAATTTGTCCGGGCTAGATTTTGAATTTCAAAGTTGAAATGGAAATTCGTGGACGTATTCAGAGAACTGCAGATAAAGCAACTGCAAATTTGTTGCCTGCAAAAGCCGCAAATCCATATGAAGCCGAATATCAAAAATGCATCAAGTGGTGCGAAAAAAATAAAATACGCGAATTTTCTGAAACGACCCTCTTGGTTTATTTCCAAATTAAGTCGGAAATTATGAAAGCATCCACACTGTGGACAATATATTCAGTTCTGAAAAGTACTCTTGGCATCAAACATAACATAAATCATTCGAAATTTTATAAATTAACAACGTTTTTAAAGCGGCAGAATGACACAAGCCCAAGAAGTCGGAAATACTTACCAGTGGAAACATTTTTATATACGGCTTCAGATCAGAGAGAATCTTGTGATTATGATTCAGCGTGAGGTTGCGAATAACGTCAAGTTTAAACGGTTTTTTTAATTAACAAGAACTACTAACAAACAGTAATAGTTGTCAACAACATAAACCAAACCACCGATTAGTGTCAACTGTCAAATTACTACAAATCTAAATTTTGATCAACAAATTCCCCTATTTAAGATTACAACTTAAATTGCACTTTTTTTAAATTTCGAGCCACTTTTTGTTATAATAACTTTAGATACTTGATTATCAATTAGTAGTAATTACTTTCTGATACTCAATTTATTTTTTTAAAGCTTAAATTCCTCGTTTGTATATTGCAACACTAGATCCTTTTTCATTGCCATTGCGACACGCCACGTGTCAACGTAAAATGTCAATTACAACTATGGCAGCGCAAAAATAAATTTAAACTAACAAATGTTATACAATTTGACATTTGTCATACCAACTGCGACCAAATTTCCCAAAATTTTAGAAATTCCAATTTTTATTTAAAAGTAGGAAAAGAGGTGCAAATGTCACTGTTACATAATATAACAGTGGGATTTATAATCTTGCTGTTGCCGTTGAAGTTCCCGTTCCAATTGCTGTTGAGAAAAAAAAAAACAAAATGTAGCCCCTCCCACCCGCCCTATTTCAATTGTGATGATTTTTTTATTCGTCGTGAGCCAAGAGGGCGGAGCTTAACTGCAAAATCCATATTTCTCTACGAGAAATTAAAAACATGTTTTTGAGTATGCATACTGAAATAAATCTGAAGCCCCACCCATACCCGCCCCGATCTCAATTCTCAAGTGTGATGAATTTTTCATTCGTTGTCAGATCAAGGGGCGGTGCTTAATTGCAACTTCTACTTCGCACCTCTTTTCCCAGTTTTAAATAAAAAATTGAATTCCTAAAATTAACTGTCACTATTTTCAGGAAGCCCCATCAACTATAGAACCTACCACAAAAGCTGGGGTTTAACAAAAAACATCCCCGTCATCGACCCACCCCCTCCTCCGCCCCCCGTCCAGGACCGCCTCCCGTCGCCCGCCTCCGACCCCGAACCAACCCCCGACGACCAGCCCGCCAAACCAAAGATAACAAAACCTTCCGAAAAGCCCCCGGAAGAAGAGCCCCCCGAAGAAGAACCCCAAGGCAAAGCAATACGGGGCAGACGAAAACCCCTCTACTCGAAATCCACAAGCAAAATAGCCCCAAAAACCCCACTCAAACCACTCAAAAACATGACCTCGAATCTAGTCAAAAACGTGACCTCCTCCATCAAGCAAGTGAAGCAGACGAAGCCTCCAGCTAAACCCCCCACTCCGCAGAGTCGCGCTTCCAGCGGTTACGGCACCAGGTCGAGCTCGCCCAAGACCGGCGCCAGCGCGAAGCCAAAGCTGGAGCGCCAGGGGACCTTCACGAAAGAGGAACCGGCGCCCGCGGCCCCCAGGAGCCGGATACCCACTCCCGGGAGCGCGAAAACCGCGTCGAAGATCCCGGCGAAGGCGCGACCGGCGACGTCGGCGAGCTCGGACAGGGTAGCGGTGAGGAACACGAGGACGGGGTACGCTAGATCCACGAGCGCGGATAGCACCAGGAGGGCGCCGAACGCGGCGAGTGTCGTGAAGAGAGCGTCGATTCCGACGCCGAGTCAGCGGAGTGGGAGCAACACGAGTTTGAACACGGCGGCTACTAATACAAAGAAACAAGTTACCAGTAAAATAGCTAGTTTATGGAAGAAGATCGAGGAGAGCAAGAAGCAGCCGGCGAAGAAGGACACGAGGGTGTGGATCCAAAATCCGGGGGAGGGGGGGTTGACGAGGAGTAATACGTTCGATAACAAGAACGGGGTGACGCTGAGGGGTAAAAAGAGGGATGGGGATGACGGGAAGAGGGTATCGAGGTTGGGGTCGTTCATTGTGATGGACGACACGGAAGAGGGGGTGAGGATGCAGCAGGTGATCAATGCTGAGTAAGTTTTTGACTTAAGCCATATATTTCTAGTCTGACTTTGTAAGTATAAGCATTTAATATATTTGTGTAAAGACTGTATATTATTTATTTAGGTTTTTTTTTCTTTTGGTGATATTACTAGCTGTTTTAGCTAAATATATGTATATAAAATCATGTTGTTACTTTATAAAAATTATATTCACAAGTAGTTTTTTAATATTTGTAATACTCATCTCCATGACACAACTCTTAGAGGCGATTTAAAGGTGCTTTTGATGGAAGGGTGTTTCATCAAAATTCCTTTGAAATTGTGCTTTCGTCTTGTCATACAAATTGTAACAATCGATAATTTGTGAAAATATATTGCTTTAATGTTAACTTGTTGCTTATTTAGTCAGTAGTTGTGCTGAAAATAGCACGAAATAGCGAAGGTAAGTAAAAAATTGTTCTACAGTTAGAGATATTATTTTGAATACATCAATGGTAAAGCAGAATTAAGCAAAACTGAAGATAGTAATACTAACCAACCAAAGGAATACAGCGATTTTAACACCATCTTTTTCAACTTTTTGTGGTCTGATAAAATACCAGATATTCAACTCAGCGAACAGATTTAATGTGTTTTTTGGTCATGAATTAATGTGTTTACGAGCATTTTACTCAACCGTATTTAATGTTTGTCCACTAATAGGTCATTTAACCCTAAATGAATGAATTAATTTATGTCTCAACAAACAACATAAGGTCGCATTAATTTATTTTATTTAATTGTGAACAGGTACAATATCAAAACATCCAAACTCCGTTAATTAGCGAATATAAACCTCCGTACCGTTTTAGATTTGTTTGTTATTTTTTGACTCTACTGTAAAACACAAACCAAAAATCTAATCTAACCCAAGGTACACCCAAATTTGCCATAATTTCGAACCACACTAGTCGATGTCCAGCCTTCTAAAATTACCATAGAAACCCAACAGTTCATCGTTTCGTAATTTTTCCGGGCGAAGTGCTTCGTCAACTTTGAAGTTCTCTAAATCATCGAAGAACTCCTGGTGTTCCTTGAACTCGTTTTCCAAAGTTTCTAAATTTAAAGTAAGAATTTACTAATACACACAAACAAAAATCATACCTTGTAATTTTTCAAGAGATGCACCTCTACCACCAAAATCCTCAGGAAGAAAGTCTTCTGAGAAAACCTGTTTCAATATCTTACTGTCGGAAAGAACGTGGATCTAGAAAATTTTACTACTAGTTAATAATACAGCGAACGAGTGTCTTATTTTTACCCTCTCAAATATTTTCGGTTTTATAATTGTTTTCATTGTAGTTATTAGCTTCTCTCCAAAAGAAGGAAAATTAATGAAATACAAAGCATGCAGACGAAGGGAATAAATTTTCTGTAACAACCAAGAGAATATTTTTTTTTTTTGAGTGCCTACCGTAGAACTTACTTTGTAAATAGTCATTACATTATAAACAAGATATTTAGGTGTAACTTTCAGGAAATAAGATAAAGGGAAATCACTACAATCCACAATGAATATTTCGCCATACAATACATCTTCCCTCAGTCTCATTTCGTGTATGTTCATAGCACAACGCAACGCATTATAAGGATCGAGATTTTGAACCAAACCTTGGTCACGTACTTTGCTAAGAAATACCCTGCGATGGTCCAGCAGCTGAGGATGAGGAACAAAATATCTGGAAAGAACGTAAAAAAAAATCGAAACACACAAATAATGTTTTACAGTATCTGTCGAGTTTCTTTCATATGCGGAAGTTCCGGATTCATTTCTTCGTAAATCTCTCTCATGTGGGTTCGAATTGTGTAATAATTGTCGATTTTTTGTTTAGATTTTTCGACGCTCGTTTTGTTGAGGATGAGGAAGTTCAAAATGCTCCTTCGGTCTAAGAAATGCGGAAAATAGTTAGGGACAAAACTGTGAAAATAATCTCTACTTACCTAGCGGCACAAGCAGGTGCGGCTGCTGTTGCAACCATTTTTCTATTGTTGTTACATCTTCATCTAGAGATTTTTTGGTTCTGTTGAATTTTTTTAAAACTTGTTCCACAGTTGCATCATCCACTTTGAACATTTTTGGATAAATTAAAATCGTTTTCGTTGAATAAAACACCGTTTGTGACGTCTTTACCTTGAGATAACTTTTAAATAAAAGTTTAGAAACTTGTTGTGTCACGTGATTACTTGTAGTAGCAGGTTTTACCATTAGTCTTTTAAGATTTGAGTTGGTGAAGGATTATAAAATCGTTTTTTTTTATTTTTATAAAAAAATATATAGGTATAAAGTAATACTGTCGTAATTTTCTTCAGCAATGCGTTTATTATTTTTTACCGATAATTCTGCAGAGAACCTTAGAAAACAATAACCAGTAAATAACGTTGAGACATATCTCAATGTTGCGGTGTTTTTAAAAACGCGTCTGGTTTATCAAAATTATCATCGTCAGTCCACTTCCGCGGACGATTTCCTCGTTGTTTCAAGCGTGTAAAACGCATACGTGATAAAGTTTATGTATATGTTTTTCATTTTTAATATTTTCATGTAAGTGTGGAAAAAGGGCCATTACGCAACACATGTTAATTAAAAGGGTTGATGTGACTCGGGTGGTTGACCGTGTTCATTTTTAATGCACCGAATCCGCGCGTGATGGCGCCACCACTTGTTTACTCCACTTGACAGATGAGGTTATGTTGTGCGCAGCTGATATAAAAACAACCGAGATTTCACCCTAAATTCTAATAAAAAAATGGATCCTGAAGAACCGTCTCCAGTTGTCTCAGGTCTGTACCGACAATTTCACAACTCGAGTTTACCCCTAATTGAACTCATTTCCAGATCTCTATTTTCTTATGCACAAGTTTCTATCAGGAGGGCCCCTCTCGAAAACCTTACAAGTCCGTTATCTCCCTCTAGTGTAAACACATTAACATTGTCTGTTTTTAAGGTTTTTCACGAAGAATTAGTTGAACACAATTTGCTACCAAAACGTACTGATTGGTTAGGACTGGAACATGAACGCACGGTGGAAGACCTAGATCACCAGTACCCCAGCGTCAGGCCCGATTATCTACTGCAGTTGTGTTGTCGGGCCGGTGTTGCAGCCTCATCAATTTCTAAGGGACCAGAAAAAGTGAATACTCTTTTTCGTTTGAAAAAAAGTGCCACGAACAGTAGTCATGTCGAGTATAATTTTAAACAGTGGTGTAATTATGTGAGAAGGCGACACCTTATTCCAGTTTGTAGTAGCACGCACGTTGCGAGTAATATAGGTGAGCGCGTTGATTTTTTTTTTTTTTTTTTTTGAAAATAAAATTCGGGTTTATTGTTACAGTTAATATTTTAAGAGGACGCGAAGTATCCGGGCCGGTGCACAGACGATGGATTGTGTCACCGAAATTGTACAGTTCGTTACATTTCCAGAGGCGGACTTTGGGGCATTTGTCCGCCGTGTATTGCCTGTTGTTCGACTACTCAGGACAGTACATAATCACAGTAAGTGGGTCGCTCCATCTGTTCGGTAAACGGACTATATAGAGGCAATTTTTTTAAATCCGTGTTGTGACTACAGGGTGCCGACGACCTCCTCATCAAGCTCTGGTCCTCCCGCACCGGCCGCCTCATGGCCACGTTCCGTGGAGCCTCGTCCGAAATCACCGACATCGCCATCAACCTCGAGAACACCCTCCTCGCCGCTGGCTCCATCGATCGAATCCTGCGGATCTGGGACCTCCAGACCGGCACCCCCGTCGCCGTGTTGACCGGCCACACCGGCATGATCACCTCCGTCAACTTCTGCCCTTCCCCGTCGTGGAACTTCCAGTACCTGATAACGACGAGTACAGACGGCTCGGTCGCCTTCTGGGCCTACAGCTACGACTCGGGGGGGAAAGTGAATTTTCGGGCCAAGCCCACCATGTACCAGGAGAAGATGCGGCCGGGCCAGGCGCAGATGATCTGCTCGTCGTTTAGTCCAGGGGGGACGTTCCTGGCGACGGGGTCGGCGGACCACCACGTCAGGGTGTACTACATGAAGGGAGACGAGGGGCCGCACCGGATACTGGAGACGGAGGCGCACAACGATAGGGTGGACTCGATTCAGTGGGCGCACGAGGGGCTGCGGTTCATGTCGGGGAGCAAGGACGGGACGGCGATCATTTGGAGCTTTGAGTCGCAGCAGTGGAAGACGATGTACTTACACATGACGACGGCGACGGCGGGGGCGAAGGCGAGCACCTCGAACGCCAAGAAACCAGCAGAGGAGTCCAAGAAGCTGAAGGTAGGGTATTTGATTTATGCTTTCAAAATTGATAACCATCACAAATGTCATTATTACATACAAAATAAACGTCAGAATAAATTACCCTATTCCAGGGGGCGATTCATGTGAAAATTTAAACTTCAAATTTTTCTATATGGCATTTGCAATACCAAATACGACAAAATTCCCCAAATTTTAAAACATATCAATTGACTCTTTTCCAAATTTTGGGATTCGTACGCTAAAATAATGTTTTCTGAAACTTGTTTTTTAATCTATACTTATATAATAAAGCTGAAGCTGTTGTTTATTTGAACACGCTAATCTCAGAAACTACTGGTTCAAATTCAAAAAATCTTTTTGTGTTGGATAGTCCATGTATCATATCTACATATAGGCTATATAAAATCACGCTACGATCATTAGGAGCGAAGTAGCAATGAAAAATTCGGAAAAACGGGATAATTATTCCTCCTTTGACAGCTTCCGTTGCTTACGCTGCTTAAACGGTTAAAGTTACGTAAAAATCATGTATGACGAAATTGTTCCCCTCTAAAAGTTCTAAAGAAAAGTCCGCGACAGCATATGTCTATCTTTTAAGGTCGAGTTAGTATAACCCTTTTTATGGTAATGAAATTTGTTCTAAAATAATAATGCATTATGTATAAAATTCTCGCGTCACAGTGTTTGTAACCGAACTTCTCCGAAATGGGTAAACCGATTTGTATGAAATTTTTTGTGTCTATTCGGTAGGTCTGACAATAGGTTGTAAACTATTTTTTAAACCCCTAAGTGATAAGGGTGGCCCACCCTAAAAACTTTTTGTCTATTTTTTGGACAAAATTTTTTATTTTTATTTTTTTAAGAATTGGCATCAAAAAATACACATAACCCTAAATTTTCACCTTTCTACCACCAACCCCCATTTTTTAATCGTCTATATAATAAAAATCAATTGCTGTTCCTGTTGGTCTCGCTAAGACTCAAAAACGGCTTGACCGATTTGAAATTTTTTTTATATTACGGGGATGGTTTATAAATTAAAAAAATAAGGATAACTTAAAAGAACAGTTAAAAAATAAAAAAATTCTAAAAATTTTGTATGGGAATCGCCACTTCGAATTAATTTCAATAGTTGGCGTTTCTGACGGACCTGTCGTCTAACTGACGTGTCATACAAAACTAATTCTTCCGTGCAATTGTGAAAAGTATATTGCATTTCAAATCGTTCTTTGTTTTTCGTAAAAAAAAACGTCGTTTATTTTAAGAAAAGTCTTGGTTAAAGTGAATTTAATTACACATTGCGAAAGTTTCTTATTAATTTTGATCTGCCATTCTATTTACCTATATTCACTTTGTTGGTTTCGACAAAACCTCAAACTTTACCGTTATTCGAGGATTTAATTTGAAGTTTTCAATATTTTAAAATTCTCAAGACAAAATTTACAGATTTGATTGACTGTGAAAATAATTCTGTGTCGTTTTATGAAGTTCATTAAAATGCCGAGAAGACGGCAACCTCACATAGGTCCACGAAGTCAATCAAATGTGCGACGAACTACCTCAGGTGCAAACCGCAATGATTTATTTCATGGGTAATTCGGATATGGAAGTTGATCAGCGTTGAGCTCATAATCAACATAATCAAACATTGAAGCGAGACATTGAGTGGTATGAATAAAACTGAGTAGATACTCATATTCGAAGTACGAAGTACCTACTTCATTATTACTCTTATATACCTGAGCATCTACTCTATGTACTGAGTACCTACTGGGAAACATTGTATCTCCCCGAACACAAACTGAACATCTACGCGTTTTGTGAGCATTTAATCTAGAAATGAGCATCGGCGTGGCAAATAACTGAGCTGTCTGTAAAGTAGCTTAGAAAACCAGTAGGATCGTTGTAAGAGTGAATTTTAACTAAACATGGTGACTTTCATGAATGTGGAACGTCGTCAAAAGCTGCATTCAGTTTGAAAAACACATTAGGAGCAGGAATATCGAAAACTTTTCATGTAATTAACTTTTATTTATTCATAAATTGTGCAGTGCGTTTTTTCTAACACTGGCCATAGAGATTCCCATCTCAAGGTGTCTACCCCATACTAACTTATATTTTGGTGACTCGATTTTTGCCTTGATCGTTGAACACTGTCACTGTTGTCTTTTTTTGTTGTATCGAGATGCTACTTGAGCATCAACTGTTACTTACTGAAGTATTAGTATCATCTAGAAAAACTAGAAATATTTTGATTTGGTATTCGAGTAGATACTTCGTATTTCGAGTATGAGCATCTACTGAGTTTTATTTATATCAACCATTGTCAAAAAATTGATCGAACGTTGTTTCGACAGAACTTCCTTCGCACCAAAAGTATAATGAAACATATTCAGCATTTTCGAGTTGAGTCTTTTCTTCACACAATTTTGTGATGACCTAATCAACATTTACTATCAACACGTTGATATACCACCTTGGATTGGTGCAGTGTAATACTAAAAATAACTATTGTATTCCCAAAATTATCTGCGAAAATCGAGTGAGCCATTCCATCAATTTTTTGGGGGGAATAAATAAATATTCTTAACAATTTACCATGCTTACAATAACTTTAAAACGTCTGCAAGATCTCAAAGTATTCATTTTTGCAACTCTTGAGTTATTCACTAAAATAAATTGACTGATCCATATATTTTTTTGAGTCACTGTAAAAGCAAATCTAAAAAATATGGATGCAGTGATAAATTACGAAAATATACTGATGAGATTTTCCACATTTTAGATAGGATTTATTCGGCAAAATCTTGAGATGACGTCTTCAAGTTTTTGGGCTTGATAAACAGATATATTTTGATTGAAAACCGACCATGTCAAACAGTAACTTCAAAACGTCTGCAATATTTCAAAATTCAGTTTTGCAATTCTTGATTCAATCAATAAAATAAATTGACTCAGTGATTAATTTTTTTGAGACACCCCCTATAAGCAAAACTAAAAAATATGAATGGAATGATAAATCACAAGTATAGTCTCATCCTATTTTGGACATTTTAGATAGGATTCATTTGGCAAAATTTTGGGCTGACGTCATCAATTTTTTGGAGGGGATAAGTAAATATATTTTGAATAAAAATTTATTATGCTTATCATATGTTTAAAACATCTGCAAGATTTCAAAGCATTCGATTTTGCAGATTCAAAATTAAATTGTAGGTGAAACGGAGTTCACGGGGTCAGCTAGTACACAATATTTGTATTGATTGTTTTTTCAGGCGAATATATTTTTTTATTAATTGTTTGACAATTCAAGCGAGTTGACATTCAATTTTTGTTATCAAGTAGGTCCTTTTGACCTACTTGATGATAATAATAATAATAATAATAAGGTGACTATGGTTACGTGGGACCGCTCCGACAACTGGGCCATCACCGCCGTGAGCGACTACTCCCTCAAGACCTGGAACACCCGCACCGGCCAGCTCGACAAGGTCCTCACCGGCCACACCGACGAGGTCTACGTCCTCGAGTGCCACCCCCACGACCGTCACGTGATCCTCTCTGCCGGCCACGACGGCCAACTCTTCATCTGGGACCTCACCAAAGGCGAAATCATCTCCCGTTTCAACAACACCATCGAGAACCAGGGCTACGGCGCTATCTTCGACGTGAAGTGGGCGCCCGACGGTAACGTAGTCGCCGCCTCCGACTCCCACGGCCACCTGCTGATCTTCGGCTTCGGCACCGGCAACAAGCTCCTGGAGCAGGTATGTGGGACGTCTGGGGGTTGCCGCAATGACGTGTCCAGTTGCAGCTGCCCAAGGAGCTGTTCTTCCACACGGACTACCGCCCCTTGGTGCGCGACGCCAACAACTACGTGCTCGACGAGCAGACGCAGATACCGCCGCACCTGATGCCGCCGCCGTTCCTGGTGGACATCGACGGGAACCCGTATCCACCCATGCTCCAGAGGCTGGTACCGGGGAGGGAGCACTGCAAGACGGAGCAACTGGTACCGAGTATAGTTTTAGGGAGCGAAGGTGAGTGTGGTGGTTTAGTCTGCGGTCGTACAAGCGCCGTTTATAGGTAATCAGGAGGTGATTCAAGTGGTGGCGGAGGAGGGGGCACGATTCGAGAACCACAGGAACGAGGGGCACGAGGAGGGGAGGAGTAACGCGTTTTTGCAGAGGTCGACGAGCCGCAGGGATAGGGAGGGGATACGTCAAAGCACTGGGGATTGGCAGAGCGATCCTAACATGAAGTGGAAGAAGCACGTTTTGGTACCCCCTTTGAAGGACATCGACATTAAAAGAATAAGGGAGGATGTGTAAGTACATATCCCGTTTTAGAAAATAATTAATAAATATATGCATTTTTCGTGTAGCGAAATTATGGAGAATCTGGAAATGCAGGAATACCGTAGACAGCTCTGCCAGCGCCCTCACATGATCAGCATCACCACGAACAACGAATCGGCCAAATCGAGCGACAAAAAGAAGGGCAACGCTTTGTACGAAACCCGGCTAGCAAAACAGAGACTCCTGAAACCGGTGCGTAACATTCTAATCTCGTGCAAACCTTTTCTCACACGACCCGATCGTTTAGACGGTGATCCTATCAAGCGAAAGCTCGTCTGAAAGCGAGTACTCCGACTCGACTGGGTACTCCGACTGGGTGGCCGAAGAAGACGTCAATGAAGATGTCAACGTGGAATCGCCGAAACGTACGCGTCGAAGACAAGTCAACTACAACTCGGAGTCGGAGGGCGGGAAAAGCGAGTCGCGCGAAGCCAGCCCAGAGAAACCACCCCCAAAGGAGCCCTCCAAGGTAACCACCAACCACGTGACAAAAGAACCCCTCGCCGAAATGTACCGAACGAGCGAGTGGTTGACGGAAGTGAGGGCGAGGAAGACGCCGTACTTCCCCCAAATGGGCGACGAGCTGGTGTATTTCCCTCAAGGTCACCATTTGTATTTGGACGCGGTGCGCACGAAGAAGATCTACGAAATTAATAGTAAGACGTTGCCGTGGACGAAGCTGCAGCTGAGGGTGGGTGTGGCGTAGCGGTTGCGATTGTGATCAATTAGGGATTTTTTCAGAGTCACGAGTACGTTAAAGTGGTGGGGATCCAATACGAGGTGAAGCCGGCGCGCCTGTGCAACTTGCGATTGGCGCTGCTGGACGACGATGGGCGGCTCAATGGGCGGATCTTCTCGGTGAGGTACCACGACATGCCCGACGTTTTAGATTTTTTTGTGCTGAAGCAGAATTTTGACACGGCGATGTCGAGAAACTGGAAGGAGGGGGACGGGTTTAGATGTATGATTGACGACGGCTGGTGGATCGGCGAGATCGTGGCCAAAAGCACAGCTAGTGAAGACTTCCCCAACTCCCCGTTTCTTTGTTACGAAATCAAGTGGGACAACGGAGAGCTGGAACGGATGAGTCCTTGGGACATGGAACCGCTAGACGACAACAGTAAGTACCACCCTAAGTGAAAATCGAAACTAAAAACCTTACGTAGGGGTTCCGGAAAACTCGGGCGAAGCTCTCCCAGTCCTCGAGGAAGAAATCCAAAGCATTTTGTACCAACCTACGGCGGACGATTGGCCCAACAACGACCGCGAATCCGTCACCAACTACATCCTCCAAGGTCTCGCAAAAGTAATGGAATTGGCAATCGCCGAACCTTTTCTAGTCCCCGTAGATCTCAACGCATACCCCACTTATGTTCTGATAGTTGCATACCCCATCGATCTTTCTACAATCAAAGCTCGTTTCGAAAATCGATTTTATAGACGAGTGACAGCTGCTCAATTCGACATACGCCATCTAGCGACGAATGCCGAAAAGTTCAACGAACGTCACAGCGTCATAGTCAAGCACGCCAGAATATTAACGGAGTTGGGTTTGAGGATTATTAAGTGAGTGAGGTGGGGGAGTTTGTACGAGTTTGGCATTTTTTCAATTTTCAGACAATGTACCACTCACCTGGACGTCACTGCCGTGTACCACCAGTTGGTGGATACTTACGATTCCACCGATACGGAGGTGGATGTCGAAATACTGCCATCTAGTAGTAGAATGCTGAGATCTTTGCCGACGCGATACTTACGTCACGCCAGCGACTGGAAATCCGAAGCGAAAATCCTGTTCGACGCCATTTGGAACTGCGAGGATTCCGTGCCTTTTAGGATGCCTGTGAATAACTTAAAATATACAGGTAGGTCAAAAGTAAGAGTTACTCATCTTTATTATACTTGACAGTTAACTACGTCAACGGTGTTATTAAATGTCAATCGCCAGCGCCACCTATCGTAACTTTTATTACAGATTACCATGACGTCATTGAGGCGCCAATGGATCTCAGTACCGTGAAAGACAAACTCTTTAACGACAAGTACGAGACTCCCAACGAGTTCTACAACGACATGAGACTCATTTTCCAGAACTCGAGGACCTACAACACCAATAAGCGTTCACGGGTAAACAATTCCTTTGTTTGTTTCGCTTTGGTGATCTTCTTTTACTCAGATTTTTGTGATGACGGTCCGCCTGGCCGCCGTCTTCGAAGAACACATCACCAAACTCATCAGGAACTGGAAAATGGCGAAACGAAGAAGTTACGCGACTCAGAACAACAAGCAAGAGGAAAGTGGGACGACGTCGTGTTCGTCTTCGTCCGAGTTGAGCGAAATCGAAGAAATAAAAAATGGGGTGAACGAACAAAGCGAAGATAGTGACAGCGAAGACGACAATACGCCGTTGAAGAAACTGCAGGCTCGGGTTCCGAAGGTGGTGTCTGAAGAGAGTGACGATAGTTCGCAGTCGAGTCCGAGTGTGAAGAATGAGGAAAGCGACGAGTCGGAGGATTCTGAAGACAGTTATAAACCGACGTTGAGGAACACAAGGAAGAGGAATAGGTTGTCGTCCTCGGAGGAGGATGAAGATGACTCGAGTGATAATAGTGACGATGATAAACCCTTGAGTTCACACAGGTACAGCGGAAGGGCTAGGAAAAGGTTAAAAACTTACTCAGGGAGGAGGCGAGTTACTGGCGATAGTGATAATTCGGACGAAGACAAGACTGAATTTCTTACGAGTGTTAGTAGTAGAGGACGAGTGCGAAAGTTGAATCCACGTGTCACTGCCTTAATGAAGAAATAGCAGTATTTGTTAAGTTGAGATGTAAATGTGCATTTTATATTTATTTACGTAAATACATGTTTTTATATATGGTGGGGGTTTGAGCGAACACTTAGTAAGCCAATTAGTTTATTTTAATATAAATATCACAAATCACAGAAATAATACTGATAAAACAAACAACAAAACTTTGTAAAAAAAACAACAGCAACCATAATATGGGACTATACTGGGTGTGGGCTTTAACAGAACACTCGGTTCTACCAAGCCCGGTTTAAATTTAAGTAACGTTGCAGTGAACAAAGCCGGTCATATGTTACCGTTACCATAGATCAAAAAGCAAAACTGAGGTTAGAAACACACATCACGTGCGATTCCAATAACGACCAGCCTTGAACACCTGCCTGTATATAACTAATTACGTTAAAAACGTGTCTGAATGTGACTTTTTTCTTATACGACTAGTACGAAAATAAAATTCTCAACTGGAAAAATCCACGAAGGCATCGACATCGTCTAACTAAGGAAGTCAGCTAGTTTAATCCTAATACCTAAAAGCTTCAAATTGAAACGACTAGTCTTGATCAATGGACTGGATCGGTTGTTTTATTGTTGATTTTAGTCCTAAAACAACGTCGACAGTCAAATCATTCACTAAAATAACTTTATTACAAGAACCACCTGTAATTCTGCATGTCTATAACAAATTTTGTGGCTTGTTTATATTTCCCCTCGTGTTCTAATTTCGAGGCATTCCTAGCCCCCACAGTGTGCGGTAGCGCTTTCACCACTATACAGTTGTTCTCTGCGTCGTGGAGAATCATGTTAGTGACAGTAGCTTTGATTTGTGGACAGATGATTGGACAGACGTAGTCTTGGGTTATTCGCAGCGGCATGTCTAACTTCAAGTCCAATACGTTTTCACCCTAAAAAATCGTACTTCGATATCGCTATATCACAACAATGCTCAATTGACTCACCCTATATTTAGGAATCGCTTGCCCTGAGGTTATCGCATACTCCGAAATAGGCCGCCTATAACAATGTCCTAAAGGCCTCTCCGTCGTAATGGCATTAATTCGTTCTTTCTTCAACACCCAATTGTCTTTATCTTCGTCAAACTGCGACAAATTTATCAATCTTGATCTTTCTTCCGGAGGCACAAAATTATCTATGACCAGAAAATGTTTCCTTAGTTGCCTGAAAATACAACATTAACCCTAATAACTTCAAGCGCTAAAAAATACATTGACGCATCGTCATTTGCTTCCTCTATTTCTTTCCTATCATTCATGTATATCTTATGGTTATCTTTAATCTCTTGTCTTATTGATTGGAGTTTAGCGTACAACCTCTTCAACTTGTCTTTTTTGAAATCTACTTGTTGCTGTAGACTGGCGAAGACTTGTTTCAATTCGGTGCAAGTTTCTTCCTCTAATTCAATCTTCTGTTGCATTTCAATTTCCCGTTTCTATAAGCATTACAATCAAAGAAAGTTGACGTCAATTACAGCGAAACCGCACAAACTTACCTTTCTCGCTGCAATTTCCAGCCGCTGCTGCTCCAACCTAATCTCGTTCTCGTTCACACTATCCACAATATTCTTCCCCCCGTGCACCATCTGTTTCTCCAAAATCTCCAACTTCTGCGCCAACTCATCCACCTCCATCTTCCCCAATTCTAGTTTCTTCTTACTTTCGTCTTTCTTGCTGTCGTCTTCGTCCTCATCCGACGTTTCGCTCTCCTCTAACACCACTTCAGACACGCACTCCTCCCCGTTCGTCTTCTGCTCTATCAACTGCTTCAACCTCTGTATCTCCTCCTGCAGCGCCAACAACTTCGCATCTTTAATATCCTCGTTCTTGATTGGCTGGTTCTTAATACTCTTCGCCCTATAAGCGTACCGCAACGTAATTATCGTCTCTTCGTAGTTAACATTCGCGGGCCCGACGTTCGCTATCATGATGGTCTTACTGTTACCCCCCAGCGAGTCCTGGAGCAACCTCGTCAACTTGGAGTCCCTATAAGGTATGTGCGCTGAATTCTCCGCCAGAGCGTAAATGACATTCCCTAAACTCGAAAGCGCCTTGTTGATCTTAGTCGCTTCCTTGAACCTCTCCCCAGTGGCCCCCGTCTTCGACTGCCTCTCACTACCAGCAAGATCCACCAAGTTCAATTTTCCGACTTTGACCGACTTCGACTGATGCTCGGCCATTTCTATGACGATTTGAAAGATGGCGTGCGATCTTGAGCTGTGTTCGTTCATGTTAGTGGCGCCACTGGTGCGGTTTTTGTTGCCTTGGCGCATGGCGCGCATCATGTCGTCGGCACTTTGACAGGTCTGGGAGTGGAGGTGGGTCACGCAGACGCCTTTCCCGGTGATTTCGCGCAGCTCGAGGGACTTCGAATTCTTTATTTTCAAGAGGTCTCTATAAAACATAGTAGGCTTTGGTTAAATGTCATTCGGTGTAAATTTTTTCGAACAATGTCAAACATAGTGGGCTTTGCTTAAACGTCATTCTAGTACTGTCACTTTTTACAACAGTCGAGTTTGTTTTACCTTTTTTTTTTCTTAATATACTTAGCCATCTTTTCACAACAAGAAACTTAGAACATGGTTAAAATGGTACATTTTTGTAGTTAATCAACTTAAATCCTCCGTTTTTCTTCTACAACCCCTTTAAATAGGGCAAAGTTGAACATCAAAGTTACTATCAACGGCAACTTGACAACGGAGTTTATAAACGACAATTTTCAGCTCTAAAAGTAACGTCAGCGGGAACTTCAACGTCAACAGCAAGATTATAAATCCCACTTAAGTTAGAAATTTATTTTAGTCCGATTTAATTTATTTCAAGTACGTTGTCGAGCGGTAATCGAAAATAAAATTACCCATAGTTGGCCGTGCCTGTCAAACTTGGGGTGGTACTACTGCCCTCAGTTTGACAAAAAGAATGTCAACATCAACCAAATCATAAGTCAGACGTGTCAATTCCAGATCACAGTTCCTACCATGATTTGTAACCCATGTTCAGAAACAAACAAAAACAGCGACTCTGACGATATTACCAACAGTCAAAAACCACAAGAACCCGTTTTTCTTAATGTCTACGACATGTATAAACTGAACGAATACACTAGCAACATTGGCTTCGGGGTATTCCATTCGGGAGTTGAAGTTTACGGAAGAGAATATGGTTATGGGGGCCACCACCACAATTATAGTGGAGTTTTTGACATGGAACCCCGAAATGAACAAATTCTCGGCGATTTTTTTAACATGAGAGGCCACCTACAATTTAGACAGACCATTCACATAGGGTATACGAATTTCACTTTGGAGGAAGTAGAAATGATAAAAAATCGACTAGGAAGAAAATTCCGAGGAAATAAATACAACTTGATTAGTAACAACTGCAACCACTTTTCTGGAGCGTTTACAAAAATTCTGTGTAAGAAGAATATTCCTGGATGGGTCAACCGTTTAGCCAACGTTAGCAGTTTTATCCCGTTCCTAAACAAAATTCTGCCAACCGATTGGGTCAACCCTAGCATTTGGGCCCCCATGTAACCCACAATAAAGTTTTCCTCACCTGATGTCTTCCATGTAAATTTCCAAGTAGCGCACCGTCACTAAAAATTCTAAACCAGTAGTCCTGTTAATATGGTACCAGATTTGATCAAAAGCCCTTGGAATAACGCCAAAATGCTCCTCGTCCTTCTCAATCCCCTCCATTGTGTAAGTTTTCCCAGTTCCAGTTTGTCCATACGCGAAAACACACCCATTATAGCCATCAAGGACCGATGAAACCAAAGGCCGGACCATTTCATCATAAATGCACTGCTGTGACGCACTGCAACACCGCCATTAAAAACAAACACAAAAAAACACCAGCTACGAACTTCCAGTCGTAGACTGCGTCATATGTGAAAATTTTCTTTCGTTCGTTTTCGGATCTAGCTTTGGGGTTCTCCACTTCGATCACGCCTCGGTTTGAGTAAACATTAACAACTGGGGAACAATCTGCTTGGGTTTCTTGGTCGCTCATGGGTCTGCAGCGGACTATCACTTGAACGGCTTCATTGTTGGTTGGTTTTTGCTGAAATAAGGGTGGTTTTGGTGGGTCGAGGGCGGTTTAGGTTGTACTCACGGATACGGAATCTTTGCTTGAATTGCTCATTGTTGTAAAATATTTGTAAAATACACGGTTTAAATTATAACATACACAACACGCATTGCACGGGGTAATCACAATTGTTACAAAAATAAAATTAAGTTTTCATGGTAATTATTTAGGACATATTTCGACATTTAATCATTTCATTACTTTATATGTCAATGTCATCGACCGATTTAAGTACCAACTCCATGACAAAAGTCCCTAGACGGATTAAGTTGTTAAAATAATTCAGTCCACAATGATTCAGTAATCATTATTCATTAATCAGTAGCGGAACGCAAATTTTGATGCTTGCGGGGGTGACTTTTCTTAACTAAATACTCGAAAAAGGCTTAAATAACTGGGTTTTGACATGCATGTGTGATGTTTGGTAATAAATTTGAGATAAAGCGTATTTTTTTTAAATGAAAGATTGACGTGTCGAGTTATATTGGTAATGCCATGATGTGACATTATGATTTTCAGTATATCCACCCGTGTACAAAGTTAGTTTACCACACTTCAATATTTTGATATTGATAACGAACTTGACATGAAAAAACTCTCAAACGGTCTTAAATAGTCTTAATAACAGATATTTACTAAGGTTTCCAACTTTGCATGAGTAATACAGACTTTAGTGGTGTTGCTTCCGCCACACAAAGACTTTTCTGTTGAGAAAATCTGTCTAATCGTTAAAAATCAGTGTTCCGTTTGAAATTCCCCCTTCGACCTGTCAGCCTGCTGCCAATTGTCGTCGTTCCCCCTAGCCGCCCTCCAAAAATCCCTAACCAGTTTCCAGCACGCAAAGCGCTTGCTTGGTATGTTGTGTCCCGTTTAAAGAAAAAAATCGCAAATGTCGGCATTGTGCCCCAAATGAACCCGCGCCCTCTCGCTAGTGGTGTTTCAGTGCCCCCCTTCACCTCGAAAATATGAAATTACCTTCCAATGCCGGACCTTTAGTGCATTTTAGCGTTCGCCTCAACGCCTTCTGTCAAACGTAGCGGCTGCAAATGGCGTCAGATAATGAAGCTTCTTGTGAAAGTGATCCGAATTTCGCCGTTATTTGTGCGTTCATGGAGAAATTCGGGACGACATGCGGCATACAAAGCATCGACTTCTTGGAGCTGCAGGAGATGCTCGAGAACACGCAGGAAGGTAAAGCACGAACCCGTCAAATTACACACAATGGCCCTGAACTTGGAGGAAATTGTCGCGTTTACGTTCGGTTCGCGTTTCTAGGATTGGGAATGTGCGTGGTATTGGGGCCACACGTGTTTTCCGTTCGAGAAAATCGCGAACTTGGTGCCCCGTTCGTGTCGGCACAGATTTCACCCATTGTGTTTTGGGCAGTGTATTTGTAAACAAATGCGCTTTTTGTGCATGCTTGGGTGGGTTTTGCGGTACTGGGACCACGGCGGCGTTTGGTTTTTGCGGGGATGGTTTTGGGGTGACGAGCCGGGTTTACGCAGGAGAAGGTTGAGAAGAAAAAAAAACAAAAGAAGGGCAAGTGTCAAATGTCAACTTACGACCCGGCTTTATTATATTTGGCAGGTTGATTTGTGTTACGGATGCGACTAACAGTAGTACGCGGTTTTTACGAAGTCGGCGTTTATGGTTTTTCACCGTTAGAATTAACGGGAGATAATTGTACAACCAGATGCAAAATACAGTTGTGATTTCAGCTATTTCAGGAATTTTTTCAGATCGCAGATGGTGAACGATTCATTACGTTGTTTCAGGTGGTGTCACAGCTTGGTATTGTTTTACAAATTTAATTCGATAAATGGTATACATTACTACGACATATCACACCTGGTAAATGCTTTGTAATGTTTAACTTTGCCTCGTTGGAATTAATGTTGTTATTAATTATAATTACATAAATATGCAACCAGTTATACAAGTTTGAATAAATTAACCTATGCACCTTGCAGTCATTAAAAAAAAGGTACACAAACAACACGAAAATGCGTTTTTATAAAGATTTAATAAATAAATTAATACATTTCTCACTCACTTTACAATTTGTAGAAGCGTGTTTGTCATTAAATTGGGTACATCATCGAGAAAAAAAGTCGTCTAGCAAGCTTTGAAATTTAATGTTGAAAAAATTGTGTTGGCGTTGCCGTGTTCATTTGACACTTACGGTCAAATAACTGTCAAATAAAGTGTCAAAAATCAATTTCAGCACCTACTAAGCGATTTTTTTCAGTCATATGGTGTATATTATTGTTTATAACTGACTCGATCCAAGTGCAAATTGGAGTCCAAAAACAAAATTGTTCCCAATTGTGTCATTTGCCCACTTTAATCAACATGTTTTGCGCAAAATTTTATCTGGAGTTTCGAAATTTGTATTACTAGACGAGTGCGGTACTAACATACCCTCGTACTTGTGGTTTATGAATCTGCCGTCATTTTTTAACCGACCTTGGGAACAGTTTTTACTTTTTATCATTTCTCTTATTTAAAATCAAAATGTATTAAGAAGTGCTTTATTTGTAAGATTTAAAATACGAAAAACAACAATTTACATACGAAACACACTGGAGTAGCGTAGTTGTTATTAGTAAATCAATGCTATTGTTTTTTATAATAATTATTTGTTATTATTAGTATTATTGTTAAGGCGTCGACACAAAAAATTCTCAAATGATTTTTTAACTCGGCTAACGCCTCTTCTATGCTACTATTTCGTGCACAAATAACCATTCTACTGAAAAGTTACATAATAGTTACGGGTTAAGAAAACATTTTTAATTATTTGTAGCTTTTTAAAAATATTAATATTGCAAAAAAATCGTGTGCTAAATTCCGTCAAGTTATTAAATTACAATATATGTAGATTTATCGGTGTTTGGGTTTATATGACTGAATTTCTTGAGAAAAAAAAACATTTCATTTTAGTAATAGTAATAATGTCTTTATTTTCTACAAATTAATTGCCCGATGAAATTTTATTAATTATATTATAAAACTCATTAATTAATGAGTCTGTACTTGTGGTTCATCATTCCATTGATATTTTTTGGATTTGCTTATATAGGTTGACTCAAAAAAAAAACGCGTGAAGCAGTCAATTTATTTTATTAAATAAATCAAGAATTGCAAAACTAAATACTTGGAAATCTTGCAGACCTTTTAAAGTTATTGTAAGCACGGTGAATTGTTAATCAAAGTATCTGTTTATTCCCCCCAAAAAATTGATGACGTCATCTCCAATTTTGCCGAATAAATTTTATCCAAAATGTGCAAAATATGATGAGTCTATACTTGTGATTTTATATTTTTTAGATTTGCTTAAACAGGTGGCTCAAAAAAAATGAATGAGTCAATTTATTTTATCGATTAAATCAAGAACGGCATTTTCCCAGAAATACAATACTGCTATTTTTCAATTTCCATTTTCCACTAAATAAAATAATCAGTGAAATGGAGAAGGGAGGTGGGCGGGGGCTAAATTTAGCTTTTTTCTATTTTTATGAGCAAGCAGTAGGCCCGCCCACCCACCCCTTCTTCGTTCCAGTGACTACTCTTAATATTGTTCAGTCCTATCTTAGCAAGTTTTAGCCCCGCCTGCCCACCCTTTTTTTTTTCTTAAAGGATATGTCATTTACCAAATCAATCTTATCTTAACAAGTACTAGTAATAAAAATCCGTACAGACGACAGACAGACAGACGGAAACGGTAGGACTCATTTTTTCGTGTTCTAGGGGTCATAAAACGTCCTTAGCTTACGCTCAGGAGTAAAAGTCACCCGGTATTAATTGGTTTACCTTAACGTGGTACCAATTATAATTCGCTCGAACCGCAACTAATATTCCCGCCGACCACAGACTTAATTTAGTTGATCGGCCTTCAAATAGGCAAGCACCTTTGAACTCTACCGACACAACTATTAAATAAAAAAATTCTGCCTAACCCATTATGTTTATTAAATTAGGTCGAAATGGTAGCGTGGTGTTTTTTAACCACTGACGTGTCCCATTTTGCCGCTACCCTCCTATTCCAGCTGTTATCCCCCAGTAAAATCACCCACGGAAAAACTTTGGAGGGGTTGCTTGGTAACCATGAATATCTGATTGATACAGTATTAATTTCAGCGGTGTCAATTAAAGTTTGATTAAAGCACGCAGTTGCCAAGTGATGGGTAATATGTAAAATTATGGTGGCGGCGACTGATTAATTCGGCGTATTTTAGGTTTCGACCGAACCGATTACTTTGATTTTTTTTAATGAAATTATGGTGTATTTCATGGCTGCCTTCGAGCTATAATTTAATTGCTGCGAATTTCTAATTAAGTACGTATGGAAAAATTTTCGTTCAAAATGTAAGTAAACGTGATGTTTTATTTAATTAATTGTTCATGAGTTGGTTTGAGTTTTGAGAACGAAGTACGAGGTTTATGTTTTTGTCATAAGGTTTAATTTTTTTCTTGTTTTAATAATATAATATTGCGAAGTTTGTGCTGGTTGTAATATTTCGTGATTAAATTCAGTTAGAAGCACATACATATTTGGATTTCGTTGACTACTGTAAATAGAATATAAAAGGTATCTCGAGTATCTATTATACATATTTTTTTATAATTGTAACCTGTGCGATATCGAATTTAGGTAACAAATATGGCTTGAAGGTGGGTATTTTTAGAGGGTTGAGAGCCATTAAAAAGAATGTGGTTGAAGTTCTGTCTATAATTAGCCACTTAATCCTGCTGTGTTTGTGTGATACGTGACACCAAAAATCAATACGGTGTTTAAAAAACCTCAAGTCACAATAATTTCAAGCAGTAACTTTGACCAATTCAAAAAAATAGTCACCGAGGAAGCAGAAAATGCGGAAAACTCTTTGTGTAAAGTGCATCCAATACTTCGTTTTATTCAATTAATTGCATTTGAAATCCGAACGCGAACCCGATCCACCAAGTTGGAATTTTCGCGAGGAACAAGAACGACGAAATTTAAAGTCGTTCTAGCGCTATGCAGGTGCGAATTCTAGTTTACAAGCGGATTCAAATAGCTTTTCTATAAAAATCGGAAATGCAGGTGACAGCGTACAGAATGCAGCGGGATTTTTATGAATTGTGATAAATTCAAAGACGTAAACGGACTATTTCGAAGTTTTAATGCATCTTGGGATTAATACAAACATTTCAACCTGCGGCTCCCCCCACCTTTGAATAATATTTATGAAATCGTTTCGTTTCAGTTCCACAAGAACTAATAGACCTCCACATCAAACTTCTCCGTAAATCAAGGAAAACAGTCTCCAACGAACGTTGGGAGAAGGCAGTGATAAAGTTCTGTCATACCTTTTGTGTCCAGGATGCATGGGAGATCGAACGATTCGGATACAAGAAAGCGAGGCTGTCGTCAAAGCTGCGAGTTCTTAAAGTAATTAATTCTCCAATTAGTATCTGAACGAGACTTATTTGGTCATCCCACAGGAACTCTTGGAAATGCAGTTCGATTATAATGCGCGCTTCAAAGCCGAAGTCAACAAAATGTCAGCGGAGGAGTTGCGCTCTCAGCCGTTGGGTAAGGACAAACAGGGGCACGCTTACTGGTTTCAGAACGACAACAACTGTCAGATACGCGTGTACAAGGAGGATCCCGACGAGGAGACCTGGACTTTGGTGGCAAAGTAAGTGATGTTGGATGTCTGTGGTCAGTCACTGTTCTTTTTTTTTTTGGTGATTTTTTTATCATAAAAAAAATAGTTGTACGGAGACTTCTGTTTTGGATTATGGAAAATTTGCCGCTTATTAAAAACAATGAATTTCGTATTTAATATATGAATTACTGGTTGTCTACATAATTAACATTAAGCACTAATCTTTGCAAATTTAAGTAAATTTTGATTATTCTGTGTCGACTACCAACAAACTTACTAGATTTTCATGGCCAACACTGCTTCGAAAAGATCGTGAAAAGAACTATGAAAATGTATGTGTGGGCATGCGCACTACTAACATGCTTTGGAGAGAATGTATGTACACCCCGTATAAACTTTGTATAAATTGCTCGTTAGTTGGAAAGTTCTTTCAATAAAATTTTTGTTGTGCAATGTTCACGATAAAAGTATACAACATTCGTCATAAAAACTTGTTTTCCTATCAGTGTAACGAACATTTTAAAAGACGTATTTCTACCGTTTGGTGAGAAACCAGCAACAAAGAAAAATCTTTCTTTTGTGGCTACAGAAAGACACCTTTTGAGGTACATGCTGACAACTTTTTAATTGGGAGATGTGGAATTCTGTATAACGTGCTATTTTCAGAGAGATGTTTCAGGCACGATATCCAAGTTAGCATTTAGCAATTCAATACAAAATCATTATAGTTGATTGTAAAAATGTGAAGAAACAATATCCCGGCGTGAATAATTATTGTTTTAACGGTGTTCAAAAAAAAAATTAAATTATGCGAGATCTGACGTAGGTTACAGTTGTTGCAATTTAAAAACAAACTTTTGAATAAAAACAATTCCAAGGTAATTGGAAGTTGAAAATCTAATCAATATTTACATACCACTGAAAACAAATGAAATTTCGTGGAGGTCATACACATGGCAGGTTATATCAGTTTCCATTTATTATTATTTAACTGAATTTAATTAGCACATTTCTGTTAATTAGCGTTGCATCACTGTTGAGCGTAGACGTGCCTCTATTGTTTGTTGCTAATCCTAACAATGGTAAAATTTTGTAGTTGGTAAACTTAACAGATGTAATTGTTCAAATTTTGTTGAACGTTTTCATTGAATTCTAATTATTTTTTCATGCAAAATCTAGCTTAACTATTGCTTGACAAACATGTGCAATGAACACGGGCAGTGGAAGCTAATGACACAAATACTAACCTTAAAATTTTTTTGAGTGTGGTTCCTTTACTACTATTTTTACTTTCCGTAGTTAAGGTTATCTAAATTTTATGAAGTAATATATTTCTGTACTCGTGGTTCATGAATCCGACTTGGTTTTTATGACAATTACTTTACAATTTTTTTTGTGCAATTTTCCACGTGGTTCATGTAGCCGATATCTCGCTCATGCACCAAATATCTCATGGCCTAGTTGGTTAAGTGGTAGATTGTCGAACTTGCTAAGATAAAACTGAACAATATTAAGAGTAATCACTGGAATGAAGAGGGGGTGGGTGGGCGGGGCTACTGCTAGCTTATAAAAGATTCTGTAAGAAAAAGTTAAGTTTAGCCCCGCCCACCCACCCGTTGTCTAATTTTTTCTAAGATAGGATTGAACAATACTAGGAGTAGTCAATAGAATGAAGAAGGGGTGGGTGGGCGGGCCTAATGCTTGGCTATAAAAGACTCTCTAGGAAAAAGTTAAACTTAGCCCCTCCCACTCACCCGTTCTCTCATTTTTTCTTCTGAAATAAGAAATAAATCTTATTAAAAATGGTACGACAAAAAAGCTACGATTGGTACTTTTTCTTCACAACCTAGTTTCTATCACTCCCACTCTGCAGAAGAACATATAATATACCCCGCCCACCCACCCGCCTCCATTTCGGTGATTAATCTTATCTAAAAAAAGTACTACTCCGGTTGAAGAGAAGAAAAATAGGAAACTTAAAACATATTTAAAATAGTAAATTCTTGTAGAAAAATATCGATTTTGCAATTAAACTCCGCCCCTTCTATCTGACAACGAATAAAAAATTCGTCACAAGTGAGACAGGGGCGGGTGGGTGGGGCTCAATTAATTTTTGGCTTCTTTTTCTCAATGTATATCTATTTTCAACAACACCAAACACCATTTGATATTTTAAGTACTTTATTGTTGAGAGAAGACTATGTAATATGTACTAAGAAAATCGAAGGATAAACCCCACCCACCCGCCCCACCTCAATGGTGATTTAAATTTTTATTCGTCGTAAGGCGGGGAGCGGAGAGAAGACATTACCCTTTTTTTGGAAAGAAAGTTTCAGGCGTCCAAATTGTAAAATCGGTCCCACTGGCAAAATTTTTCTAAGTACTTATTCTGTAAAGTCCTTTCTTATGTATTTTTAAAATTATATTGTCAATAATTAACAGTATTAAGAGTAGTCACCAGAATGAAGAGGGGGTGGGTGGGCGGGGCTACTGCTAGCTTATAAAAGATTCTGTAGGAAAAAGTTCATTTTAGCCCCGCCCACCCACCCTTTGTCTAATCTTTTCTAAGATAGGATTGAACAATACTAAGAGTAGTCACTAGAATGAAGAGGGGGTGGGTGGGCGGGGCTACTGCTAACTTATAAAAGATTCTGTAGGAAAAATTTAAATTTAGCGCCGCCCACCCACCCGTTGTCTAATTTTTTCTAAGATAGGATTGAACAATACTAAAAGTAGTCACTAGAATGAAGAGGAGGGTGGTTGGGAGGGCCCAATGATTGCCTATGAAAGACTCTCCCCACCCATCCCACAAATATTATATATATATAAAACAAATTTTCAAAATAAAATTTTATAATTTTTATAAAAACTGGATTTTTTTTATTGGAGTCATTTTCTTCAAATGAACTAATCTATTTACTAATTATTTCCTAATTTATGTTCTACCTGCGAATCCTCCGTGTTGCTTTTTTGATCAAGGCAAAGTACGGGATCGAACTTTCGTCATAATTACACATTTTCTCATTATTTTAATTATTCATCAGATTAAGATCTCCCAAAATATTTAAAAATTCACCGTTTTAAAATTGTTTTCTCCAAATTTAAACAATGTTCGTCTTTCATGTCATCTGACCCGACCTAATTAAATCTGACAAGACTTGATCTGGTTTGGCTTGGCTTGATTTTACTTGACTTAATCTGATTTGATCTGACCTGACTTGGTCTGACCCGATGTAGCCTGAGTTAAGTTCACTTTAGACAAGATTTGACATAATCCGACCGGTCTTGATGAGGTTAGGTTTGACTTGACTTAATCTGGTTTGGCCTGACCTGACCATAGGATACATGAAAGTTGTTTAAAATTGGTGAAAGCAGGTAGTAACTATAATAGTGTCCAATTTGAAGGTAGGTCGGATCTCTCATTCACCCGTCTTTGTTTTTGGCTTGGAGAGGTAGTGGGAGAGCCGCAGGTGGAGTAGAGCTTAGGAAGTAATCTACAAGTAGGTTAGCATAATCGAATTTTTTGACGTTTTGACATTCCAACAGGGATAGAGAAGGCCTAGCTTCATTAATAAGCGAACTGAGCGATGGCGATTCAAAAGTGAGTTCAGAATCGGCCACCAACGAGGAAGACAGCAACAGTTTAGCCGAGAAACCTATAATAGACACCGGTCAAGTGGACTCGTCCTCGTCCGACTCCAATAAAAAAATCTCCGGCGATTCCGAAAGCTCGAACGAATCGAAGGAATCGACGAAAAAAGAAGATAATAACATATCACCCCAAGAAGAAGGCGACGCCGCAACCGACGAAGAATCACCAGAAGAATCACCCGAAGAGAAGGAAACCAAGATGGAGAGCGAAGCGTCGACGAACCCGAAACGTCCCAGAGAGAGCGACGAGGAACCGACCGAATCCAAGAAGCCGAAGCTCGAAGAAGAAGCCGTGGTGAGTGAGGCGATAGAAGAACCCGTGATGATAATCAAGGGCGAGGGCTCGGGGGCGGAGAACCAGGCCGTCAGCCCGATCGTCGGCGAAGAGGTCGAGGAAGATCTGATGTTTTTTTACGGCGAAGGTGACGGCGAGGAGTGCCAGACGGGGAACGAGGACAAGAACGCGGAGCAGAGCCAGCCCGAGGGCGGCGAGTCGAAGAGCGGTGGTGGGAGAGACGCTAGTGATAGTGTAGTCAGTATTAGTGATTCGAAGAATTGCGTCAACGACGAAGTTCCTACATCTCCTGTAAAAAGTCCATACAAATTAGGTACCATTATCGACACGAAGACTGACAATAAATTTTTTAGTACAGTTAAGAGTCCGACGAAGAAATCGCGATGGGACGTGGACACGATAATCGCGACGGACGCGCCGGAGTGCGGCCGCGTCAAGGAGCTCGTCACCAAGTGGGAGCAGGCGAACGACGACGATAAGGAGGCGGACACGCCGAAGAAGTCGATGTTCTTCTTCGGACCGGGCTGTCTCCAGTTCAGCCCGGCGACGGTGGGCTTCGGCCAAAAAGTGCCTCCAGAAAAAAACGAAAGCCTGGAAGTCCTGCCCGACAAGGCGAAGGGGGACGTCGGGTATAGGATAGGGGAGGACAATAAGGCGGAAACCAACGATTGTGTTCAGTCCGGCGCTGAAGCGGGACCTTTAGTTAGTCAAGTCGATAATGAAGAAACACCAGTAGAATGTAAAGTAGATAAGTTAGACAATGAAGTAAGTACTGCAGGTGATAATCTAGGTGCAGCTAGCGAAGTAGAACAAACCAAAGTTGAAGAAGCTAGAGGTAGCGAAAGTCGTGGACCAAAAGGTGACTCTGAGGCAAACGAAGAACAAGTCAGAAACGAAGAAACAGACATACAAGCAGCTGTGGAAGAACAGATAGTCACAGAAAGCGACGACGCAGAAGAAAGTCGCAGGATACCTGAAGTCACCGCCGCTTTGGTCGACTACAAAGAGTCTCCACAAGACGCCAAAAACGAAGAAAGTGAACCCGTGGTCGCTGAATCCACCTCGGATCCGGTGCCTGCAGTTGAAGAACCATGCGTCAAAAAACACGCTTACGTTCTTGGTGAAGAAACGACGGAAGCACCAGTTGCCGAAGAACCAACCGAAAACCACGAAGTTGAAGAAAGTGTCCAAGAGACAGAGAATCGCGAATCTGAAGAAAAAACAGAAGCTGTGATCACTGAAAAAGAAACACTAGTTATAGACAATCCGGCAGAAGTAAGAAAACCGGAAGAAGAAGTCTCGAACATTGACGAAAACGAAAATAAACAAGTAGTAGCTGAGTTGAAGAATGAAGAAAATCTAGAATCAATTAAATGTGATCGAAAAGAAGATGATGTTTTAGCGAGTAGCGAAACCGGTCCGAAAGAAGAAAAAGTTTCGGTTCCGGAAACTACCGAAGTTTGTACAAGTTTATCAAAAGAAAGCGAAAATTCTACCAAAGTGGAAGCGACCACCGAAATTGAAGAAACAAAGGAAGCCGTGCCGAAAACAAACGACGAAGTAACTCTAGAGGTCGACGGAAACGCCCCCAAGAGTGAAACTGTAGAAAAAGAAGATCCAGTTGAAGATCAAAAAGAAGAACACGACGCAAAAACACCAGATTCTGTAGTAGAAAAACCGCCCGAAACAACACCACCAGAAGTTGAAAATCCGGTTGAAGATAAAGCTACTGAAAACGAGTGCAAAACGGATACGAATACAAAAAACCCTCAAATAGAAGAAGAAGAAAAACCAAGTTTAGACGTGATAAAAGAACTTCCGCAGCCGGAAACTGTACCAACAGAAGATAAAAAATCCCCCGCAACAAAAGAAAGCGACAATAAAGTCCCCGATAAACCGGAAAAGCCAAAGAAAGAAGCAATCGTGTATCTAAAAAACGAAGATAAACTTAAAGTGGACGAAAAATGTATGAAAGAAGAAATCAAAGAAGCGACCGTTGTTACAAAGCGCGGCCGCAAAAACAACTCCGACCAAAGTGCTGAACCTCGCGTTTTCACAAGACGTTCGACTCGATCTTCAAAAAACGAAGAATCGGGTGAAGACAGGCCGCTCGAAATTCCACCACCGACGAGGAGAGGCCGCCCGCGTGCCAACCAAAAGTCCGGGAAAGAAGAAGAAGGAGACTCGAGCAAGAAAATGAAGCTATCGAACGAAGAAACCCAAAGTGACCCGAAGCGAACGCTACGCAGCCAACAAAAAGAGGAGCCGAAACCGGACGAAGCACCCGAAAAACCGAAGGAAGAGGTTGCGAAGAGCGAAGATACGGAAGAGACGACGGCGGAAGTGGAACAACCGAAGCCGGAAAAAGAAGAAAGCTCGCCTGGGTCGGCCGACGTCACTGAAACCGTGGTGGTGGAGAGCAGCAGCAGCAGCGACGTGGTAGAAGTCACCGATAAAGATCCGTTAGATGGCGAAAACGCGAAAGAAAAGAAGAAACCGATGTCGTTGGCGACGTTCTCGCTCGATTTTAACGAATCTCCGACTCCGATGCCGCTTTTGACTAGACGCGGCTTGAGGAAAAGAGGGCGCGAAAGTCCGCAGAATTCCGAAGAAACTGAAGAAACGGCGGGGAAACGTCCGAAAATGAAGGCGAAACGAGCCGCCGATATCAAACTGCGGAAAAGTATAGAAGAACAGAAGAAGAAGGATCTTATTAGTAGCGACGACGACAGTAAGGGAGAACAGGCCAATAAGAGTGAAAAGAAGAAACATGCGAGTCGGGACGACGAAGAGGACGAAGACGCGATCGTGGTGAGCAGCGAAGACGAAAAGGAAGTCAAAAAGAAGAAAAATAAGAAAGCCGTGAAGAATAAAAACAGTGAGTTGAAGGTACCTTGTGGTTTGTGTGTGTAATTCGTGCTATTTCAGAGAGGATATTGTCGAATTTGGGGATCGATCTTCAACAGGCCTTGGAGTTAGGGCACGAACAAGTTGGGGTGAGACAGTCGAGGAGGATAGCGCAGCTGAAGATAAAAGAAGAAGCGGAAAGAAGGAAGTTGGAGGAGGAGATGGTGCACGAGACGGAGCATACGAAGAAGAAGAAATTCAAGAAAAAAGACAAAGACAAAGTAAGTGGGATTAAACGAGAGAGCGAAACGTTATTGTCATTTTTAGGACTACAAAGTGAAGAAGTCGCAGTTGGAAAAGGGCGACGACGAACCGGCCGAAGATGATAGCACCGACTCGAAGAAAAAAAAGAAGAAAAAGAAGAAGCACAGGTTGTTCGACGAATTGAATCCGTGGAGGTCGAGCAGCGATTCGAGCAGTTCGAACGAAGAAGAAGAAATGGGGGAAGAAGAGGAGGAGGAAGATGAAGATGTGCTTCAGTACGTTTCTGATCACGAGTTTTCGCCAGAGAGTGACATGGAAGGCGACGGCGAAGCGTTGCCTCTGAAAAGGGCACGTACTGCTCGTAAAGGTAATACGATAACCGATCTTCATTCTTCAATATATGTTTTTTTTAATTTCTATGATCTATTACAGAGTCGGATGTAGAGGAAGTCGACGACTGCCCGTGTCAGAAATGTGGTAAATCCGACCACCCTGAATGGATTCTACTTTGTGACAACTGCGACAACGGTTGGCACTGTTCGTGCCTAAGACCGCCCCTTTTGGTAATACCAGAAGGTGATTGGTTCTGTCCGCCATGTCAGCACGCAAGCTTACTCAAAAAACTGCAAGAGAAACTAAAAGAATACGATAAAAGATTAAACAAAAAGGAAATCGAAGATCGGCGTAAACAACGCTTAGCTTATGTTGGTATCAGTCTCAATAGCGTCCTTCCGGCTAAAGATACCGAAAACATTAAAAAGCGACGTCGCCTTAAGAAAGCTAAGCACGATGACGACGACGACGACGACGATGACGTAGATGGCGAAGAAGCAAGTAGTGAGGAATCCGAGTCCGACTCTGCCTCTGATTCTGAATCAGGGAGCGACTCAGACGAGCCGATTTATCAATTACGTCAAAGGCGCCAGGCTCACAGTTACAGGTTTAACGACTTCGACGACTTGATTAATTCCGCGATTCAAGACGAAATGGATGCGGTGAAGGGGGCCGGTAACCAAGGCAGGGGTAAGGATATAGCGACGATAGTGAACGCCGAAAAGGAAGAAGAGAGGAAGAAAGAGGCGGAGGCCGAGGCAGAAGTCGAAGTCGAGGCGGAAAAGGAGGGAGAGCCTGTGGAGTTGGAACCTTTACCGCCTGTGGTGCCTATTAACGAAAAAGACAAAGAACCGAAACCGCTATTTGGTGAAGACCCCATCGGTAAAAAGAAGATCATCGGAAGAAAGAAACACAGGAAATTGAACGCGCTTGATATTAGTAGCGCGGACGATGACGAAGATTCGGATGAAGATTTCAAAGGGACGAGTAGCGAGTCGGATGATGATTTCGACGAGGAACTAGGGAGTGACGATAGCGATGATTTGGACGGCGGGCGAAATAGAAGACGGGGGGCTGATCCGGTTAGACGATCCACGAGGGCTAGAACTTCGAGATATGACGCAGATTTCAGTAAGCTCTTACTAGCTTTGACTTACGTTTGGTAAAAAATTGTGTTTCAGTTGACGACGGTGACAGCGACAGCGAAGATCACGCGCCTCGACGCAAGAAGAAGCGCTCGATTTGGGACGAGACCGAATCCGAGGAGAGCGACCGCTCGTGGGGTCGCAGAAAACGAAAACCGGCTAGTCGCTCCAAGAAGCCCACAAGCACTTCAAAGAAGAAGAAATCGAAGAAAAAGAAAAAGCACGACTCGGACGAAGAAGTGTACAAGAAGAAGAAACCGAAGATCAAGTTTGGTTTGGACGGGGATGACGACGGTCCCGTTCGGAGGACGCGCGGGAAGAAAATCAACTACGTGGACGCTTTAGGGTCGGACAGTGATGAGGATCGAGTCAAGAGACCTCCGCCTAGGATCGAGAGCGACGAAGAGTACGTTGCGAACGAAGACGAGAAAGTCAGCGAGGACGAAGGCGAATCGGGGGAGGAAAACATGATGTCGAAGCCTCCGAAAATCCAGATTCAGTCCTACACGGATGCCAGGTTTACTCAGTTGTTGCCGGAACCGAAGGGTCAAGGTTTGGATGAGTGCGAGGGGGAGTTGAACCCGATTGATCAAATCAATAGGAATGTGGAGATGATGGACGAAAACGAGATGGAGAAAATGATGGAGGAGGAGGAGTATGCGAATAAACAGTTGCAGATGGTGGCGCAGCAGTTGGAGAAGGAGAAAAGGAGGAAGGAACGGGAGGCGAAGAAGTTGGAAGGGGGTTTACCGGGTCAGTTGCAGTCAGAGCAGAAGAAGAGGATGATGAGGAAACAGAGAGATCAGTTCCAGTTCAGTGGGTCGATGCAGGAACCTCTGGTGGGTAACGTCGATAGTTTAATTATCAATTCGGAAAACAACGACGAGCTGTCGGAACCACCGGGAGTTTCTTTGCCTTTGTTTGCCGAATTGGGGGCTGGCGGTGGCGACATGGAAGAAACGGTAAAGAAACGTAGAGGTTTGTAATTCGTGTTTTATGATTTTGTCGGTCTTAAGTCGCGTTGGCTTGTAGGAAGGAGTAAAAAGACTTTGGAGGAGACGGTAGCGAATCTAGGCGGTACGAGATTGCAGGAAGGGGCAGCGTTTATGGCGATGGGTGGCAATAAGATGCATCCGACGGACTTATCCATGCCTCAAGAGAGTAACATCGAAATAGCCGCCCCTCCACAACCTTTCTCCCAGAGTCAACCTACCCCATCTGTGATCACCAGGATGTTGCAAAGCAAACCTGGACAAGCTGGATACCCAGTGGGTACTATTAGACCTAAGCAATTCGCCTCGATGCCTGATAGAGACGAGGACGTCCACCAGCCCATATCTTCGGCGGCGGCGCACCCTGGACAATACATTCAAGGTAGGAATTGGCAAAAATTATTTTTCATCTACAGAGTGGCCGGTTAAATAAACCATTTCATTGCTGGAATTTATTAATCATTTCACGTAACATAACTATGCATGAAATATAGCCACGAGGGGTTGTCAGAGAGATTACACAAAAATGAGTGCGAATACGGATGAATATTTCAAAATGATCAAAGAATACGTTGTGAATTCGTGAATACAAACTTTCTAGTTCTATACAAAACATTTTTTTTTACGAGCGTTAATGTCAGCCTTGGTCAGTGTCACACTTGATAAATATAAATTCAGAGCAAGTAAATCACTACTTACCTTCGTATTTCTTTTGAGGCTTGAATGCATCTGAAGCTGGAAATCATACTATTGGTTCGTTCGAGGTCACGCGAACTATACAGTCAGTCATAGTGACTTGATTGCGCAAGTTGACAACCCCTCGCACGAAATAGTCCCTAACGCTGCTCTCGGCAGTCACGAATGGTGGTATTTCAGGTGCCGGCATGCGGCCTCAGATGTCTAGCCCGTACCGGCAGATGGCGCCAGCCATGAACCACTACCCCCGCACCGCCCCTCCCCCTCCTCAACTCCGCACCCCCGTCCCGCACTTGTACCACCGCGCCATGGACCCGTCGCCGTCCGGCGGTGGCATCGCGGACCACAATTCGCCCGGGCGCGTCGTCTCCCCGGCCTCCAGCAGCCCAGGGAGCAACAAAAACGAGACGCCGCCGCCTCCGTACTCGCGACCGCCGGCAGCCGCGCCCCCTGGGGGCCGGTTCCCGCCGCTCGTGACGACCAGCGCCGGTGCCAGGCACATCCAGCAGATGGTGCCGCCGCCCCACATGCAGCCGCCGCGGCCGAACCTGTCGCCGTACCACCCGGGCATGCCGCCGCAGTACCACTACGGGCAGTTCGGCCAGGAGGACGCCCTGCCCCCGACCATGTACCAGAATTCGCCGTACTCGGAGCCGTTCGAGGGGCAGGCCAACCCCTCGGAGAACAGTAACAGTAAGTCGTTCGAGGAGGAGTCGGGGGGCGAGTTCGGAGGGTTGGTTTCGTACTTTTCGAGTCAGCGGGAGGATGACCTGGAGTCATAAGGACTTTGCGAACGCGTGTGTAGCCATTTATTAAATTATTGAGATTTGTATAACGTTTTTGGTACCTACCTGTGGAATTTAGTGGGGGTTTTATATCATTTTTTCGATTTAAGAATTAAATTATATTTATAATGTACAGAAATTAGTTCTAATTTTTATATTAATATCAAATAGATGTGTAAATATTTGTATATAAAATATAATAACTAGACAATTCAATAACGCTAGTATTACTACTATGATATAAAGAATGGGTGTTTTTAATGTGATGTGTATATTCCTTACATAGTGTATACAAGAAGTTTATGCATTTTTACCTAAAAGCTTATTTTTATTTAAACAGAGTCTAGCTTCCAGTGTTGCTACTAAAAGTGCGACGTTTTTCTCGAATGACGTTCGGTCATGTTCGGAAACTGTGACGAATGAACGCATTTCAGCCCCCTTTCTTTTTGTTATGATCGACTTAAGTCAGTCAGAGTGTAAACGTTAGTTTTTGAATTGTAAAGCACTTTATTTACGAGAAATAAAAAGCGAGTTTTGGTTTACTGTTGTTTCTTAAGGGTAGCTGTTTGTCAGATGATTTTCTAAAGTTGTTTATTGTTTGTAAAACAAGTTGACAGTACACGATATGGTTCTGTAGAGTGCTTTTTATTACACAACCTAGCCATTTTCGTAACGTAACGTAATGTACAGGACGTAAGTAAGTAACATACCGATATAAAATTTTTTATTATTACATCAAATTCAAACATACATATGAAAAACATATGTTTAACAATAACGTGTAAGTTCTAACTAACAAATTCGTAACAATTGCACAGGTGTGCATACATCAACTCAACTGCGTAAGTGGGAAGCGTTTTATAAAAATATGTGTAACTAGTCGAAACAAAATAAAAACTGTCAACACTATACATTTATCTACGACTATTTCACAGTCTACGTAACACGAATCGAAAGGATAATGTAGGTGGCCATACATAGACGTTTTTCTTATCGTTTAGAAGAGCGCAACCTTGTTCCCACGTGTTTCACCGACTACATTATCCAATTGAATTGTCGAATCTATCGTCTATCTACAAAAATAATCGTTCTGTGGGCGCGAAACAATAATCTCTGCAAATACTTGATCAAGATGCGTTTAATAGTCAAGATATAAAAATTTCTGGTCGTAGAAGAAGGTATTAAAGTGAAAAGTTATAAATTCAGCAACAACAATTCACAGGTTAATAAAGGATGGCCGAGTGGCGGCCATATTGGAAGCTGTACAAAAATACCACCATAGAAGAATAATTCCGGTGGTTGTGTCATCATCATCATCGTCAGTACATTGTCTTGTGATCGACCAATTCGTTAAAGCATGCAAACGGGGCGGGCCTATTTACAAGGAGGATCAGAAGGGCGTAACGCAAAATCATCACAAACAAAAACGAAAAATCGAATAATTTATTAGAAAACGCTACAAACGAACAAAAATAAAGTGGAAACAGAATACATACAACACGTCACGTTTGAACAACAGTGATTGGTCCATAGACAATGTGATTGTGAATATATTCGCCTTCGTCTGTTTTTTGCATTTTTCTTTTTAAAATTTGTCTAATACCCTGTGCGATATATCGAAGTTTGCATTGTGCGTAGTTTCCGGTAGTCGAAATTGCATCAGTCGTCAATATCGATAGTCAACGAATAAAACAGCAAATAGGAAAACGAGACCTCGGTTATATGTACAGTTAGGCCTTACTTAAGTTCACGTCATTTAGCACAGCACGTTCGGCAGTAGCCTTGTATCACTAGGGGGTTTATTACAGTACTATGTACACAGATAAAACTCCGACTTACTGTCCACCACCACACATCGTCGAAATTCACGGAACACTAAATTTTTTTGGCACTGGAGATCTCTTTTTGGCAAAACGAAATTTCAACGATGTGTCTGTGGTTACAGTAACGTGGTCTTGTCTCAGGAAACGTCGCGGTGCCTGGACTTTTTGTGACCGCCGAAAGTGAACCACGTTCCCACTTTGCGACCTAGCGAGTTCGAGTTCGTGTTCAGCTGGAGGGCAAATCCCATGTAGGCGGGACTGTGCTTGTAGTTTTTACCGGCTGGAATAGACTTTTTAGAGCCGGAGGACGACGACGCTTCCGATCTAACAATACCTCTGGGCTTCCGGGGCGGCCGCCGCTGGGAGCGGGCTGCCACTTTCGCCAGTTGCTTGGCCGAAGGTGGAAACTCCAAACCGTCGTCTTTATCCTGAGCCACCAGTTTGCGCTCCTCGGAGAAGGCTTGCAACCATCGCTGTTTGTCGGACGAAGAGCGGCAGCAGAACAGCAACCATTTATCGCGGATACAGCTGTACACTTTGATGGCATGTCTCACGCTAACACCTAAATGGTTGTCTGCAAAATTACGGTTTATGCGTGTCGTCGGTACTACACTTAGTAGACGATTCGATACATTTTGAGTAGGCAACTTTTTTTTTTTACCTTACTTAATACAAAAGTTCTATACCCCGTCTATCGAACAGATGGACTGAAGGTTTTTCAACATTTGCGGAGTTCAGTGAAAAAATAAAAATCACTGCCTACTCAAAATTCACGGTTGCTTATTTTTTGACGCCGAATTGAGTGGACTATAAATGATTTTACCTTTTCCGTCAGGTACGTCGATGACTTCGCTTGTGTCCAAGCATATGCGACCCTTGTACACGTACACGCTCCTTTTTAATATGTCCTACGAAAAATATTGAAGTTGGGCTTGTATTGAAAGTGGGTTGGTTACCTTTTTGCAGTAGACAATTTGGTGGTCAAAAAGGAACAGAGTGATGTTGTTGGTCCACATGCCGGTGGTGACCTTCACGACTTCGCCTTGGTGAATTAGTTGGCTGCTTATATCGATCAGGTCCTCGCCCTGAAAACACGAACGTCTTGTAAATTGAAGTAAACCGTGCTTTTGTTCAGTGGGCTGTGTAGGTATGACGTGTATACAATACGACTGTCAGTTGTGGGGAGTGGGGTGAAGGTCTCTACAAGTTTAAGTATCACCAGGTAAACTGTACGGAGTTGGAAGTTTCGTTCAATCACTTAGAATTTACTGGGTGTTTTAATTTTTTACTTTTTGAAACATTTAATAAGGGGAAAGTTGGAGTTTTACACTTTCCTTTCGGAAAATACCTTGTTTGTCATTAATGATGTACCAAACTTTTCATCATTATTATTGATCGCCTTCATTTTGCCGACGAAGCTGCATTTCTACGACAACAAAAAACACAGTGCCAATTTTATGTCAGAATAGGAATTTTGTTTTGGTAATTTTTGCGCACGATTACCAACGGAAAAATTTGGGCGAAAGTTGTAGACTCATCATATTTTGCACAATTTAGATAGTATTTTTTCGGCAAAATTATGACACGTTTACGCTCGGGAAGTAAAAATCTGTGTTGTAAACGGTAAACAAGAAGTAGTTGATTGCTTAACCCTCGAAGCTGGACCACTTCGAGACTCTTTTGTTGTAATACCATTTTCTCGGTAGGCGCAAATATCTGTCTTGGGTTTTCCTTATGTTTTTGCTCTTTCTCATATACAAAAAACGTCAAGTTGGCGGTGGACGAGCGGGCTCTTTTTCGTGATCCACTCACAGTGGGAATCAACAAGACAGCTTAAATTCCAGCGCCAACTTGAGGACAATTTTGCATCACTTCTTCATATTTTCTTCGTTTAAGAAGTATCGACGAAAAGATCATGTGTTGTTTATTAACTGCCGCCCCAAATCTGACCTGGCTTAAGTTGACCTGGCCTAGCATGACGTAACCTCACTTGACCTCATCTGACCTGACGTCGGCGCTTCGTACTCTTCTTAAGAGACCTCAAATTGCTGTTGTTTTTTGAATGATTGTAATGACTGGGATTACTTTGTACGATATCCATGTCTTCCAGAAGTCAGTTTTTAGAAAAATTACAAGCTAAGAGCAATAAGTGATTATTTTTTATCCTGTTCAATGGCGCTCGTTATTAACAAATAAGTAGAGTCCATTAAATGAATTTTATGGTGGGGGTTAGTCGGTAGGATATCTTCAAGGATCAATTTTTTTTTTATGTTGACAGGAAACAAGTGACTATTGTGTACAGTTACTTGTTACTGATTTCTCGGTATTTCTCGTATATTTTGGGATTATTAGTAGTAAATCATTCAGTGTGTCTCAGGAGCCTTATTAGTTTTATTACGATGGATTACTACTTTTATTTCTTCCTTTTTCCCCCATTTCGTCAAACTGCCTTTGAGAATGCTTCCGCTTCTCGAGACGTCCTTTACCCGAACGTTCGTCATCGCCTTGGCACCCATTCAAGAGCCCTATCATTTCAACGAGAGAACATTCCACAATCACCCAAAAACCGTTATAAACGAAAATACGACCACAATAAAGCTTTTCATGTAAAAATTCGCCGCTTCAGCTATAAAGTCGTTATCGCATGTATACGCCTACTCATCCGTCCAATATTCCGTGAAAGTGATGATTTATGTTAAACGCATTGTGATTCAGCTCCTCTCATAGATTTCCATAACTGCGGTTAAAGCTCAGAAGGCAACCGTATGAAATTTAATGAATCTATTCAAAACCAGAATACGGAACTGACAACATATGGGGGTGCCTCCCACATCGCCGAACATAATTTACCATCCACGATTAAATATTCTCCCCATTAAAGTTTTTTCCGTTGCATTATTTATGAAAATCAGAAAAAAAATTCATGCTTACCTCCCACCCCTCCACCCTTTGTTGCCACGCAACCAGTTTCTCCAAACTCTCCATCCTCCTCTTCCTCTCGTTAATCAAAACGGCCACGCCCCGCATCACTTCCAAAGCCTCCTTGATATCGTTATAGTCTTTATGGTCGGGTTTCGTGTACTTGAGCAACTCGGCCAGCTGCAGAGGGTACTTGCAGATCCTCTGTACCGGCGTCAGCAAATACCCATCCAGCGGAATCTCGATCAGTCCCCTCATCAAACGGCAAGCCTCGAAGAACTTGCTGTAGTTGTTGAACTGGTAGAGTTCTTGCAAGGCGGCCGTCGCCGACGGATGGCTATTGCAGTACTCGGAGTACATCTTGAACCCGGCCCGGTGCTTGAGGAAACAACTGCCGACGCAACTCTTGTAGGGGGCGTCGAAGTCGATCTGCGCCTCCAGGTCGCGGACGAAACTCGACTGGAACCTCAGGATGTCCTCTAGATTGATGAAGATGGTGGCGATCTGGTCGGCGGTGAACATGTCCTGGCGCTTGTGGCACTCGGCTATGTAACCCTCGGCTACGTCCTGCAGGACCTACACGAAAAGACGAGACTCGAGGGTCGACAAACGCCGCACGAGGTCGTTACCTTCACGAAATCCCTCTCCGTCTTGACCAGCTCCCTGACGACGCTCGTCCTGACCTGGTCGTTCGACAGCAGCGAAATGCTCGTCCGCCTCCGTATTTGCGACGGTACGGTTTTCCCCGACGCCATGGCAGCCAGACAGTCCTCCACCGTATCCTCTTGACTTACCCTCAGCCGGACGAACTGAGCCGGGAACCAACCCGATTTGCCCCCCGTCGAGCCCCACCACCACTCTCTATTGGCCGTCTCCAGCACCTCGATGAGGTCCCCGGCGCGAAACGCCAGTTCCTCCGCCTCGAAGGCGACGTGATCGAAGACGGCCTCCGCCAAAATCACCATCTCCTCCTCCATTGCCAATTCGAGCGACTTCTTTCGTTCCGTCAACGAGGCGATCGACGATTCCGAATCCGACATCATCTCGTCGTCGGAAGTGCCGATGCGGCCGTCGTGCTCGTCCTCGCTGAGGACGTGAGAGCCGCCTAGCCGTAAACCTGAAAAATCAAACACGGTACAGCAAAGCCGACGATTGCATATAACGGAGACGTACCTGCGGTTTTGGTCCTCATCAGCGGCGACAACTTGTCTATATCCAACGGCTGGCTGAGCGACCTTCGCAGTTGACCTCGGCGGTGGGTCACCCTTAGTTGGACGCCGCCGGGAACATCCGGAGGTTTTCTGCGGGGGCTTTGGGGGCGCCCCCGCAGCGGACTCGGTGTCGACATTAGACGCTTGTAGGAAGATCGGGCGTCCCAGTGGAGGAGTCGCTGACCTCCGAGGTCGGATCGGGTTCTTCGGACTTGATTATGGCGATGGGTACGTTGTTTTAAATCAGACTGAGAGAGACAAAGAAAGAAGATTACTTTATGGAATTAATGTAAGGAATGAATAAATGAATGAATGCGATGGGAGTGCAGAAACGACGCTTTCGAGGAAACGGGGGGAAATAAAATAACACTATCAGCAAATAAATCAGCATTTTAATTGTATTTTACATTTCGGTGTGTTGCAAAACGACTGGTTTAACAATAGTGGTGGTAGTACTTAAACTTAATTAAAGTGCCATTAAAAATATTGGAGTCGCTCGAAATACTTCTTCCATTACAGATTAGTGAAAGGGAGGAATAATTATTTTTTTAAACAACGAGTTGAAAAATTAAAAACACATTGCTACATTCATTTACACACACGTACTACAAAGTTCAAGTTCAATAATATTTGGGAGAATCAATAAAATCGTCCTTGGTCTCCTTAGCCCCTCAAAATACAAAGCAAATAAAGTAAAATAATGTTGTAAAATCTATTGTTGCTTTCAAAAAGGGATTACAAGTTAAAACACAGTATGCGTCTCTTGTCAAAAGTCGCATTGCATGACTTACACTCATGCCGTGCATTAGTTTTTCTTGTTATCTCATAATAACTATTTTGCTGTTATTTTACCTCATCAAAATCTACTAAAAAACACCAGAAGTGATATCCAAAACTGTATACTGGGATCAAAATTAAAATATGAAAATAACTTCGGTGTTTCCCTCAATCCATTGTAATAAGCTCGATTTGGCGACGGCTTAATTTTATATTTTCTCGACGTTTCACATCTTCTAGAACATGAAAAAGTAGATCCCCGTTTTAAATTTTAAAAATAAATGTGAAAAATTTTTGTTATTCTTATTTTGGTAGATATTAGCTGTTTCGAAGAATCTAGAAGAAAGTAGAAGAATCTAAAAGAGTCTGCAGGGATCTGAAATGATCTGGAAAAATTTGAATGAATCCGAGAGAATCTCGAAGAATCTAGCAAAATCTAAAAAAATCTGGAAGAATTTGGAGGAATCTGCAGGGATCTGATATACTCTCGTACTTTTGGTTTATGAACCCACCTCGATTTAGTTTATTTATTAGCATTATTTTATTGTTTAAAGCATCTCGTGCTTTAAGTCACATAATACGTAATGGACTTGCAGGGAGACGGTGTATTTTTTTTATTGATCAAATCCAAAACGGCACACCAAATTTTCTCGACAATTTGAGACTATAGTAATGAATTACATACCAAATATACACCAAGAATTTTATACGTGCTTAATCGCCGAACCGTTTCAGTGCATAAATAGGTAACTGACAGCCTACAGTACTGTTTTTGTTCAGTTGTTTTTTAGTCTGCTCTAATTATTATAGCTCCCAAGAGGATTGGCACCATCAACTCCTCAAATTGTCAATAGACGATATCGACGATACAGATCATTAACATCCCGCCGATTTTCGTCGAGTATTCCACTCGAACACAATTACGAGTGGTCGCAGTAAACATCGCAGAAAAATACGGAGTTTGTTTCGCACTACATGTATTTGTCAGAGCCTGGTTTAAATACGGGGCACTCTTTTCGACGTTCTTCCGCTACATTACTTGCGACCGCCGGGGAACATCTTGTAGGTTTGAAACGACGTACTGAAGTTATGTTCATGATCCTCTCCATAAAAAATTGGAGCGGAGAAATTTTTCAAAGGGAAAAGAGAGCCACTGGTGTGTGAACTTAACCCAATATACTAAAAGAGGCCCGATTTTCAGAAAATTTAAACACTCGGTTGTTATTAAACTCGACAAATATGGTTTCGTGGTGAATCATGGTGTGACTAAAAAATAATTTCTGAAAGGCCAATTAAACCCAATTTGTACAATAAAAGTGGTGGGTTGTTAATGAAGGTGATAAGAGTGGAATTTGAAAGAAAAATATTGACGCTTCGCACATACTTTAAACCATAACGGTGTTATCTAATCGGGGAAAATGATTTCCATGTTTGTTCTTTGCTTGTAGTATTTAAAAAATACTGAAGGTGGTAATGATAATCAGTATTTGTCACTCTGTGTATACAAAGTGGTGTTGTTGACGAAAAAACAAGGCAAATATTTAATTATCGTATTTGAGTAGTGTCGTGTTGATAAAAACCGATGACACGATTAAATATTTGTGTCTGAAAATAAGTATTTTCACAATTTTTGCAAGCATTGTAATTCTGGGTCTAGATCGATGGACGTGTTTATTTTAAACAAACATGTGGCTATCGTCCAAACGTGCCTTAATATAGAACCCACATCACAACTTGTTTTTGAACGCGACCCAGAGTACGTATAATTTTGAAAAAGAATATCAAATAAGGTAACAATGTACACAATACGTTCGCAAAGTAGCCATCTGTCGCGTCAATTTTTCAATGCAAAACCTCGCTTGTCGACTTCACAATGTCTGTTGTGCACTCAAGTGTGACGCTTGAATGAAGGGGTGAAATGGCTCGATTGAATCGAGAACCAGAATACGTTTTTTTGTTGAAATACAGTTTGATATCACTTCCGGCGAATTCTTATCTTTTCAATTCCTATACACCCATATACACCCGTCCCCGTCGATCCCGTTTAACATTTCTACATGTGCATAATTCATGGTTTCTATTTCTTCGTGGCCCGATAGCGGGCACGTTTTCGGCCATAAACCCATCAAAAACCAATTAAGTAGAGTACTTCCACAGTAATAATTCATGAATCACTCACAAATTCGATAAAGCGTTCCTACGACAAAGCACAGGTGTCCACGCTACGAAAAAGGGGCGATAATCCATCATGCCAAAACAAATCACCACCGAAATTAACAATCCTCCAATACCGACGTCACGGCCACTTTAAATGCACCACTCCCACAAAGACGCCTCGACGCAACAGTCTTCCTCATTTATCAAGAACTGGTCTTTTTATCTGGAAAAGAACAGGGACGTCCGCGTCACCATCGCAAAAACGCACTCGGACACTAGCACAGGTAGCCGCAGATGTTCCACCCTTGGTTTTCGCACTGAAACACCTGCCCTTGCGCCCGCCGCCAAATGCCGCCGCCGCCGTATCAGCATTGTGCGGTGCGTTCGCACGACGACATCCTGAAATCGACTTCCCGGTCGTTCGCCGTAGAAACGAGTGGGAATCCTTGCTCGATATCAGAAACACGACTTGCATTCGAACATGGGCGTCGACTCCGGGAGAAACGGGGGCCGAGTACAGTTTCAGTTTACATGGGAGGTTGCGGATCGATAGGGCGGGATGGTTTTTCGCCGGGTGTGCGGTCACGTTTTAAGCAGAAATAAAACGAAGAAGGCGACATTCGGAATGTACATTCAAACTTAGAGGATGTGGCGTCATATACATTATAATACATTCCTTTTTCCTTTCAGAGCGATCGTTAAGGCATATTTTCAGGGGCGGCTCGTGCCTGGACTTGACGCAAGATGTGGAAAAGTGCTGTTCTGCGTCACGCTTACGTTGCGGTTCAATGACTCACCTCCGCTGCAAGCTGTTTTATTTATGACTTACAACAAAATCTCGACTCGTCACATTTATCTAGTCGATGTCGGCAAGCATCGGTTTTGTGGTTCTAGAATATCGTACAAAATCTAGTGGCTTATTTTTAGAAAAAAAAAAAAAAAAAAACTCAAAAACTGAAGCCACACTTTTGGAAATGGAACATCCTATATATTTTTACATATACTAATTGGCCTCTTGGATTCTATAGCCACCGTGTATTTTAAAAATTTCAATGTGATGTTGCCACGTTGTTCAAATTCTTTGGAATTTTTTAGCGATGCAAGGGTTCAAAAAATTTGTTACAATATTTTATAGAATTTTCTATAAACGCTCTGTATTTTAAAATTTAATTTAACTCTCAAAATATTGCAACGTAGATCTCAAAAATAACACTAAGGGAATTTTTGGAGAACTCTCGGTTTGTTGTTCACGCAAATGCAGCAACAATTAATTAAAATGTAATTGGGGCAATAACATCCACAAAATTTACACAATAATGTAAAACTACAAAACCGATCATAGATGTCTCAAAGAGCGCCAGTTTTGAATATTAATTACTTTTTAATAAACGCTGTTTTGATCAACAACAGTAAGATCGAGTCCTACGCTTATTTTATGCCGAATTTAGAGCTATAAAGAGTAGTAAAGCAATTGGTTGGTTTGATTATGATTGACGACCGTATTTTAGATTCACTGTGGGCAGATGCACGTCAGACTCGGTCAAATAGGACATTTCGTGTTAACCTAAACAAATAAATAAAAAATTAACTGAGGATAGTTTTAACTTATTTGTTGCAAAGATTGTTATTTTTCGTTTTGATAAACACCGGACCCATTTTTTGCAGCTGCGTAACTAACTGTCAGTGAAAATATTCATTAAAATCCAAATTCAATCTCATATTTTTGTAGATCATCAGATCGACCATTCAAGTTCATAATAACTAATCAGCCTATCGTAAAGAAAACCCGTTATCCCTAAAACACTTTCATCGGATGAGTCCATTTGTAATAAAAACAGGCTGATGAAGACAGTAATGAGGACAAACGAAAGATAAAGCGCATGAAATATATATCGTGTCGTAAAATTTCCTTGGAATATTTTCCTTCCGAATTAATAACTTAACATCGGCAGTAAGAAGTTTATAGTGCAGCTCGTAAACTTTCCAGTTTGCAGGAATTTATTCGTCCGAATTGACTAAATTTGTACTTGTAACGACTTAATGAGGTAGCAGCGCTACGTTTTCTAATTTATCGGACTTAACACACGGGCGCTGAAATTAAAACGTCCAGGATATTTACTGTCGCCTTTTTTAAATACACCAGATTAGAGTTTAATTGCAGAACTTTACGTCCGAACGCCGGCTTGCCGTCAATCTCTTCGACACTTCAAACAAGCCCAAGTTCACGCAAATATTTAGAAGAAATCACCTGATTTATCCCGGAAAAAAATTCCCCGACGCTGGTAGCACCAAGCCGTTAGTATAAAATTAGACCGAGTGCGACATTTCGGTCGATACTTCGTGTACTTGTGCAGTCGCACTTTCTAGAAATAAAACAAACCGACTGCGACTGGGGGAAAATTCGAAAAATTCGTTAACCCTACACGGACGGTTTTATTCGACGCTCGAGACCAATTCGGCAGCGGTTTTATTTCATTCCTCCTCATTCAGTCGATAACAAGAGGATACAACTAATTGATATTTTGTCGTTTTCCAACTTCACCAGTAAACGAGCATTCCAGGTGCCACAGGAGACAAATTTAGAACCATATTTGAGGCCAGCAAGATTTATCGTCCGAAAACTTACAAAGCTGTGTTCTGCGTCTCCAGAACGAGACTAATTTCGCACTAATTGCTCGACTTTCATTCTGTGGCGCCAAAAGTTAATTTGGGGGTGGTGGAATTAATTTAGGGGAGGTTTTATGTCATCTTTGAACGTTTTAAACTGCTTTAGTAAGTCACCGAATGAGCAATAGTAGAGAAAATTTACTTAATTTTAAATTTTAGCCCAGTTAAGAGTGGTAAAAATAATCAACTTTAAAAAACTATGATTACGTATTTACTAATCTATTCGCTACCTGCGGCTTCTGCACAACCTCCCGACCAGGACTACGAGTCACACGAGATCAAGTCAACTCAAATTTAATCGGGTCGGGTTAGATGATACGATAGTCCAAAGTTGTTTAAATTTGGTAAAAGCACTTAATGACGGTACATTTTCTTATGAATGGTAAAAATAAAAAATCGGTCGAAAGCTATTTCGATATCATAATTGGGCAAATTTTGGTTAGCGTTTTACCATCTACACGATATTCCTAACATACATACAAAATACAATCGGTCCAGTAGTTTTGGAGAATATCTGCCAAATAAAAATCTTAACAGAAGACACACAGACTGGACCAGGAGATCTAATTTTTCATACTCTATGGGTCATGAAATGTCTAGAAAACATAAAAGTCGGCAGTCGCCCCCCGATAGACTCGATTGCTTACGCTCAGGAAGCAAAAATAAAAATCGCAAAACTAAATTTTATAATTTTTATACAAAATTATTTCATACTTTTCAAGCATTCAAAAAATTCACTGTCTTAGAAAAAAAATTCTAAATCAACTCAGATTCATAAACCACAAATACAAATTTACGTGACGTTATCAAATTGCTGCTGGGTATGAACAGAGATTAACTGTCTAATAAACATCAGCACAGAGACAGGCACACAGAAACGGTTTTTTTTTGCTACTCTAGAGGTCATGAAACGTCGAAAAAACATGAAAGTAGCTGTTATCCGAATAGACGATATTACAATATTTCTTTAGCTTACACTCGGAAAATAAAAAATGTTTTTCTTACATTAGCATAAAATGTTAATTATACTGAAGGCGCATTCATAAACCACAAGTACAGGAAAATGTTAATTTGACATAAATATTTATCAATGTTTATTTGTACTTTCGACACAGTACAAAGAAAACATTTTTTTCATAAATGATTTTCCTATTACATGTTTTCTATCAATTTTTCCTTCTTTAGATAATCCGATAAAAGCAGTGTGCGATTCTATTTTAGCTACTTTATTTTCAGTTATACAGGTTTTTGCATATCTCTAAAAGAATAAAAAACACTCTTGTTGCCGAAGGATTTGTGTTTTTGGTCTCTTATCCGTAATAAAAACTCTGTACCCAATTTTTACAAATCTCATAATAAAACGACTTCGGTTTGCAAAGAAATAAAAAGTGTTTTCGGTAATTTAATTCAGGCCGTGAAAACTTTCATTGCAGTCAATATCCGCGATTCCAGTTTTGGCTTTTTGTTGGCGATTTCAGGAAACTCATATTTAAATATTAGAAAAACGTAAACATAAATTTTGTAAGAATTTTAATCCGGTTTAGCGAAATCTTAAAGTCGGAAATTGCAGAAGCCATCTTGTCGCGATGTGCTCAACATGAGCCAAATAACAGATCCTTTACATATACCGGTGCAATGGCCACTTCATCGTATTTATGCAAACAGTCGAGGTTGTGTTGCATTGAAAATTAATCTTGTCTGTGATTGTGTTGAGTACCGCCCTGACAGATGGAAAATCGTGATTAGGGATCTAATGGAAAATGTAAATTCAGCGGATTCTAAAGGGGTCGGGGAGATGGACACGTGATGGAAATGGGTTTCCACGGAAAAACTTTCCTGAATTTTATTTATATTGTGGGTGTTTTAATATGGTACAGCGGAGACACATTCTCGTTACGACGGCACAGCGCATTCAAAAGAAATGTATTAGAGTATAATACAAAAAGTACATTTTTTATGAATGAGCTAAAACAAAGCGTGTTATTTGCATGAAATTATTGATCAAAACCAGAACTGCTACACTGTTGCCCTGGTAAATGGCCGAAGGTGCTGTAACGAGCTTGAACTGTGTAGGTTCGCAAAAAATTCAATTAGCTGTATCTACAACGAGATATTTATGAAGATCGATAGTTTTTCTTGGTTAGTGTCGACTTATTCCGGGCCTGTGTGGGTTATGCTTGTAGTAATTAACTGAATAAATACCCGAGAGAAACGTATCAGTGTATCTTTAATTTCAACAGTAACGAACTACGACCGAAAAATAATAGCGTCCCTTCCGGTTTGACTTGGTAGCGCACAAAATCCGTCAGCAATGCATTTTGTATGGGAGGATTCGCGGCGTAGTTGTCAGTTATCCAAAAACCTACCGATTTTTTAATTATCTTAAATTTTTGCTATTCCGCTTTTATTCGTGTGAATATTGGATTTTTATATATTTAAATTCGATGACAATGACAAGATTCACGTATCAACTACTTTGTAGAAATCGGTAGGTGTTTGAATAATTGATTGACACCGTCGCGAATTTTGCCAAGTCAAATCGGAACGCACAGTAGGTGTTTGGCGCACCGATTATCGAGTCGGTGCCTGTTACCGCTATTAACATGGCACGGATGCGTTGTGCAAGCACGAATCGCGTTGCATATTTTATCAGTGCGACTCGTTATCAGCAGCAAGATGAAACTTGATCTAAGTTTAATTTCCGTGTGTAATAAATTGACGACAGCGACAGTTAACGAGGTCGTAAATTTTATAACATACCTATAAACGAAAAGCTAAACGTTCAGCTCACAATTAGTATGTTTCAAAGACACACAAAAGTCGGAAAGAATCGTTATAGTAAAGCAAAATTCAAAATTTGCATTGTGATTTAGTAGCAGTGTAACGGCTACAATTTGTAATTGGGAAATAAAGGTTCCTACAATTTCGCACTCCACCTACCTTAAATTTATCGATGAGTATTTGATTGAGCAGATCGGAGTGGGGTCTGGAACCTTTTCCATGCGGAGTCCTTCGCCTAATGGACGGAGGACTATCCGTATCGTCACCAGGTGGGTCAGTGTCGTGTGATTCGGAACTATCGCCAGCGCCCCCACAGCCGGGCATCATCTGCAACCGAGAAAGTCTCACACCAAATCCTCAACACCTTCGCGTGTCATGTCGGTCCGTCTGTGTTCGCGCAAACAAATGAGAAACATGACCATAGATAAAATGACAACAGTATAGTTTACAAGGGTTCGATCCATCCGTACACAAAAAATGAGTCGGTGTGGATAAGTGGGTACAAAGTCGCTCAAGTTGCAAACTGTTAGAAAGGGTGCAACGGTTAGGTGTTACAGAAGTGTCCAAGGCAGTTTTACGACTAAAGCGACTTTTGAAAACCCTACTAGCGACGAACAGTGTCTGAGTGGTTGCGGGACACTAATGGGTTCACGCAAGTCTGTGGTCCTTCTTCTTTATGTGAGGTGTGAGATGCAGTAAAATGGGGATTTTTGTGTCAACAACAATGATTACTTTATTACTAGAATAATGAGAATATTTGTGTTTATAATAGGTAGAGGTCTGGCTGGCGAGATAACATTTTATAAGCTCAGTGCACTTTTCGACGGCGATATAAAGCAGGGGATGCTTGACCGTTACGGTTGGTATTACGTGACTGTTGGTGGATGTGAATCGTAAAATATTCCATAATCACCTGACAAAAGTCGTAAAGACCTCGTATACGAGCTCGGAGAGCATAAAGAGCTTAAGCGGGCATAAAGACTAATTACTTTCATAAAAATGGGGATTTTACTCAAAAAACTATAATGGCGAGTTTATCACACGTACACAGTTTATTGTTCGTTTGTTTTTGAGGACATTCAGCTGAAGCTAACTTCCACCTCCCTTAATGGGAGTAGCTTTATTCTGACTTATAGATAAACAAATATACTCATAATATTTTGCACATTTTAGAATGAATTTATTCAGCAAAACTTCGAGATGACGTCAATCAGTTCATGAAGGGGATAGTCAGACAAATTTTGATTAGCATTCTATCACCTACACGATATTCCTAAAACACATCTAAAGTTTCACAACAATCAGCTCAGTAGTTTGGAAGATTATCGGCCGAACAAAATCGGCAACAGAAGACATAGAAAATTGTAGTTTTTCAGTTGCTACTTCTACATTTGATTTTCCGTATTGGTCGGACTCTACCTTGCCGTCACAAAACTGTAGGTGCTCTACAAAACCAAACGAAAGTGTGAATTTCACTTTATTTTTGCAGAGAAAGCCCAAATTTTGGTTTATTATCCACAAAATTTGTCACACAATTATTTTAATTAAATATTTGCTCGCAATTTAATTCAATGAAACACCCACCACAGTAAATACCAAACGAAATCCAAAAATTCATCTCGGACCGCTTTCCGGACGAATAATCCGAGTATCATCCCTGGCAGCTTTGGGCGAAATCGAAAACCACTAAATTATTTCGTTGACGTGATTGAAATTGATTGCACTCCAGGCTAAAATAGCAAAAAGTTTTCCAACTAGTTTATTAATCAAAGGGGAAAATGAATCGGGAACATAGAAATTTCGTATTTGCTAAAAATCGCTCACACTCTACGGCGTACGCGCTCTTTTCGGCCATTGGTTTTAAACAAAATAAATTTGATTCCCCAAATTTTCTTTTAAACTGTTACGCAACGCTCTGGGAAAACACAACATAATGAATAAAGGTTGAACCGCGAAAAGTCCTCATAAAGGAATTACCGGAGGAAATTTTTATTAACATTCCCTTTGTTCCGAATTCTCTTACAAAATTTCTTCTGCGTTATAAAATTACATCGTTTGAAAAACGAAAACATTATTTGTTTGGCAAAATAACGCAGATTTATAATTACGGGCTTTTGTGATGCGAAATTGCTTGAAATAGTTCCGTGATGTTTAATAATAAAGAAAGTTAAAACTCATTTAAGCCTTCTTTTAATCTATCGTGTCTCAGTTAAACACCCCTCCGAGCCACTGAAGCGAATAAAATGAACAGCCAGCTGCATTATATATACAGAGTCGTTCTAAAAACTACATGATAGGTAGAGAACACCGGCCGAAGCAATCCAGAAAGACGCATTTCGTCGCCCCTCCCAATGTAAATCCAGCTTTAATAGTCTTAAACCTCGTCTTTCGTAATAAAACCTTCTAAAATGGCCTGTTAAGCCCTCAACGTGCCATAAAGCAACGACGGATTAAAACAAAGAACAAAAGTGAAGTAAATATTTACAGGGTGGGCGATAAAAGCGCGTCCTCTCCCTCGGGCCGGTGCGGATGTAGTACATGATAAAAACCACGATGAAAATAAACAAATTGTAAAAATTATGCGTTATACAAATATCTTACCAAGCTATTCTAGCCGCAGCCTAGTAAAAATTCGACAAAAATTAGTGTGCTGTCATTTCAGATAAGAAAAAAAAAAACGAATATATACTGTGTGATATGTGGTCCTACCTACCCATTGCTGTGCATTGGGGGAGGGAAAAACGACAAACTTTCCCTCCCCAAAGAGACATAAAAAGTTTTTATAACAACGAGTGACTTTACGATGTGCTTGATATAATAAGAAGGGTGCTGAAGGAGATGCTGAGAAAAATGAAGTGGCTTTGTTACTAACCTCGATCTGGATTCCGCTGTCGCCGCTGTTGCATTTCGCATTCCTCGCAGCTTTGTTCAGCTTTTTGCGTTCTTTACTCGAGCGCCAGATCAGAGGGCCGAAGCGGCTGGAAAGAACATTGCATTAAACGGGTGCTAAAAATTCACGAAACAAGACTAGAGAGCTTAACGCAAACAGAAATTCGATACGGTCCTTTTTCTTTACACAATGATATACGAGGACTAATCAGGAAAGACAGAGATTTTTTGACACAGGCTGACTCTTTTCTAAATGCCCCTCGTATCGTGCTTACGCCCTCCAAGCATTTCCACCATGTGCCATAAAAAAATTAACAAAATAAATAATACATTAAAAGTTTGCCTGCTCGCTTTAACCGCAATCACAATTACTCATTAAAACTTTGTCACAAGTTGTATTTCTTTCGCTACTTTAAATTATAATTTTCCAGCGATTTAACTGGAACTCGCCAACTTTACCAGCGAACTTTTAGTATTATCCCGTTTAAAAATGTTTTAAAAAAGTTTTCTAAAAAGGTCATTTTAAAATATTTGATAATTAATCTGCGAATAACAGGCACGACGTTGTGGTTATTTTCCTTTTTATGATGTTTACGGATTAAAAATTCTAAAGGATACTTTTTTCCTAATTTTTTTAGTAACCCAAACTTTTGTGATGATTAGAGAGCGGATTTCTGTCGGGCTACGTCACGATTATTAGGTGGGGACGCGTGAATCGCTGTGAATCAGTAGCGGGTAATAATCAGTGCATTTAATTTTCACTTATTCCATAAATACAATTCACGAAACCTTAATTCGTAAAACAGCTAGGTAAATGAGAACGGGAATTAACAGCAAAGTACAACGAAGCACCGTTATTTTATTCGAAAATAGACGAAGTGCAGCTAGTAACTGCTCTGAATTCCCGTCCCGCACGAGCCGTACCGAGTTTGGCCTTGCCAAGCCCGACAGAAATCCGCTGTCTAGTGATGATCGATATCGTAAAACAAGAGTTTGTTGTCACCATGACATCTAAATGATTAGCAGCTCTTGGTCACAAAACCCTCATATTTTCGGTTTACGGTTGAATCAAGTTATTTGGTCGTAGCACACACTTTGGTTCAAGTTATTACGGAAATGTCGCATTTCTACGTATTTTTATTAGGTTATGCGGAACAATACAGAAATACGTAGTAATCACATCTCCAGGTGTACGATTCCTCCAGAAACTATCCATTTGAGGATCAACTATTACGGTTGGTCAATTCTTCTAGAAATTCTACAACGTTCTGTCAACAATCTATAAATCTTGGTTGCAATCTTTAGCTGTGGTTTTATAACGTCACATCCCATTTTAACAAATTTGTTGCTGTATAGTCATAATGCACTGTTTAACATTTGTCGTTTTACATAGGCCGCATCTGTATTTCTTTGGAATAGTTAAATGTTAAAACTGCAATCATCCACAAATGTTTGTCGAAAATTTCTTGTCTAGTTTTCCGTGATTTTTTGTCTAGTTAGCTGACCCCTGGAGACGTTTGCCTCCCATTCAGAGTAACCCCGGCACTTTTTCGAAACAGTTTAACCAATCATCGACAAATGTTTGTCGAAAATTTCCGTAAATATAACACGCGGAACGTCTCAGTTCTTCCTGAACATCCATCGTATTTGCATTTAGAAGAAATAAAGAACCCTTAAAAATTAAAATACCAAACTCGTCAACGTCTGCCGCTGCGTCACGACGTCAACACACATCCAAAACCAACTTCATCCTCGTACATTCTTCCGCCCCTACAAATTTTCCCTTGCAGCTGTTGAATTTCCTGGAACCTCCCCCTCCCCCCTAATCCCGCTCCGGGCTACCGAAACGAAAAACCACTTTCTCAACTTACCTGCTCTTTTGCTCGGGTTGTTCTTCTTTCGTTTCAGCTGCGGTCGTCGCGGTCGAGGCCGACGCTGCATGACGGGGCGACTCCTCTTCGGAGCGGTCTCCCAGGATTTCCGAAAGAGCCTCTCCGAGATCGGAGGTACAACTGTCCCTGCTGGTGATCTTTTTTTGGTGGAAGCGGAGTGAGAACGTCTTCCTGAACTTTTGCAGGACGCTTTCGGTGGACGTGGTAGCTGGAAGGAGTGCGAAAACGTTTATAGGAGGTTTTACGCGTGTTATATGTGCGATTTTATGTTTGTATGTTTGAATGAATGATTAAAATAGTAATCTTCTATTCGGGTTTCGAGCGGGCTTCGAGCGGAGATAAAAACCTGATTGTTTCGGGGTAATGCAGGGTTTTAATATTCGCGAAAATGGGTCGAATGGACGATAGTTGACAGATACGAGCTATTGTTCGCGCAGATCGGTAGCTATTAAGGTTCGTTATTGCGGCACTAAAAGCTTTCATAGAGGAATTATTTTTGAACGTTCTTGGTCTGCTACATTCTTTCAAAGGAAAAAATTATATGAAAGGATAATCGTAAAGAATATAAACAATACTTGCCGTTGTCTGTTCACTATTTCAGAAGCGACACCCTGTAGTAACAGGTTTCGACGATAACATTGTTATTGTAACGTTCCCTACGCTTCCTAAAGATATGACACTGTCAGGTAAATGTGCTTCCTAGTTCTAACAAATAGTTTGCGAGATTCTGTTATCATCTTCCATGGTATTATATTTGGTTCTCAACTGTCAATAAGTGTTATAAAATAAGATTCTGTGTTCGGTTTAAAGTCTTATTTAGCACTGACAAGTAACTGACACATCACCCGAGACGTTCGATCCAAATTGGATCAACTGTCATGGTTAGCTCTGAGTTCGGACAAAAATTAAACTGTCGATGAATACAGACATATTTCACAATTTACTGAAAATCTATAAGTCTTTGTAAAGTCTGAAAGCTCCGGGAAAGTTCCTACACGCCGTAACTAAAGTTTTTCCACTTTGGCTATTTTTTTCGCTTAGTTTTTCAAGAGCAACACTTTGTTTATTACTAGGTGATATGAACAAACGATCTCCACTGAGCTTCGTGCTTTTAAAACTTAACGAAGCAACGAAAAATCAAAAGTTTTATTAAAAGTTCAACAATGGTGATGTTTTTTCAGAGCCGATTCAAAAAACTATCAATAAACCTTGAAAATAACGCAAAATTAAAACATGTTGAGAAAAACGTGAATCAGTGTGGTATTTTCTCTTAGTAATTAAACATGATTTGTCTTTGAACGTCACATTACTTAATATCCTCTTACTCAAATAAGTCACACCAGGCTTTTACGTGATTAAAATCAAATAAAAATTTTGGCTTGATTCATACAACTGTTGTTTCTGCTGTTTGGACCGCCTAGACACGAGGTTTTTCGTAACGGTTTTCCCCTATTTCAATGTAGCACACGCCCTTACCGTAGTTAGCTCTAATCAACCCGACTCACTATCAATGCATATAATCTTTTGAAAAAATTTTTTAATATCAACACATTCCCACACAACCGCCCATATTTTACTCGAATCTTTCCCATATATCATGCATGATCCACCAAAAAATGTCCCACACACGCACGAAACACACATTCCATTACCATAAAAACCCCATCCATCACATCTACCACAATAATAGAAATAAAATTGATATAAACTCGCGATAAACTCAATCGACATCGAGCGAAAACAGATGCACGTACGTCGGAAAGAAATGTTCCCATTATGTACAGATTTCCTATTCTTTCCTCATCTGATCTCTCTATTTCGAATACTAAATCGATCTCGATGTGGACATAAAACTCATCGCACGAAAGACTTCTGTATGTATGGAATATAAAACGACACAAACATCTCTCTCAGACGCTAGCAATAAAACAGAAAAAATATTAACCGTAAGGGAAGCAACAACGCCGCTTTTCGTCACCTCGGCTCTCGCCGGTCAAAATTTCGCACTCGATATCCATTTTTCCAGCACGGGATGTGACACCACACTGACGACAGAACGTAAACAACACGACATCACAAATTCGAGGTAAAAGCGAAAAAACCTTATCGTCGCTCGCGATTATTTCGATGGCAGAAATTAATAAATGAAACATCAAAGAGGAACGTAATTGCTGCTGTTTATGGCCGTGATTTTTTTCTCGTATCGCGGAATGAATGTTATCAGCGTTTTGTGACGGTGGAAAAGGGGAGGAGGAAGTTTCGCTTTGAAGTAAGTAAAGTGGGATCGTTCCGACAACGGAGTGCAGTGTTGGGTTTAATACGGGCGTTCCATTACTCCTGGCACCGGGCCATCATTTTTAAGCTCGTAAATTCGGGAAAAAAATTTCGGGTTCATAAGGAATGATGGTGCGAACATCAACGGGTAATATAATGAGGCCGAAATTAAATAATGACAACGTGTACGTGAGGTATTGATTTCTGAAAGATGCGGAGATGTGGGGGAATTTGGGTCAGTTTTATAAAGAATCACGAAAAAAACGAAATAACTTCGTCAATCGACATTCTAGCTAAATTTTTATTTAATTAAATTGGCGTATTTGGGGGACAGTGGGATAGGGTGATATAAAAAGAAATGTAGAAGCAAAATTCAAATTTATATATAGTTTCACCAACGGTAAAAATGTGTATTATGCTTAGATATATTTTTGGCATAATTATAATCACTAATGCTACTGATATGCAAAAACTTATTTATTTAATAAGAAATATATTAATTTAGCAGATGAAAATTGCACCTTACCCCACTGTCCTCTAGTTTGTTTACTTTCTTATCTAATCCACTGATCCAACATTAATATGATCCTAAGCATGAATGATAACAGATTTATAATGTTATCTGAAAAACAATCATTATAGTACCCCCTTTGAGATGACGTCACCAAATTTTTGATACAAATAAATATACTAAGTAATATTAGACCGTCACAATTTCAGAGAAACTCGATGAATCGGATTTGACATAATCGGTATATTACATACATCGCGTTATAAATTAATTCTGTAGTTATCTTTGATAATTCTGTAGTTATCTTTGATAAATGTTTTTAGAAATTCCCAGAAAACATCCAATTACAGATGAGTTAAAATAATATTTTACATCAACTCATACATATTTTCAGCCAAGAGGGGCTAAATTGTAAAATAATGTCGTTAAAATTTAACAGGAACGATTTCATACGTAATTTTTTAAACAATCATAAGAAAAATTTTGCGCTATTTTTAGTTTTGAGATATTTTTTGTGTTTTTATTTCATAATCTTTACTAGGAAATCTGTGTGATTCAATCACCACTATAGATAAAAGATTAAAAAATTGGTTGAAAGCTGTTTCGCTCTTGGAGTATAATAATCAGACTAATCCAGCTCTTTAAAAAAATTTATAAAATTTGATTTAACGATTTTTGTTTTGTAATAATTGCTGTAAAGTAAAAATCAGCGTCATAAATAACTCCTGCGCCGTAAGGACAATGTAAAATATATTTAAAACACTTAACTAACGTGATAAAATCTCCTACAGCACTAGGTAATAGCAATATGAAGCTCAAGTGTTTATGTTTATACATCGAAATAATTGTCACGTAGAAATGATTTAATTTGATTTGAATGAATTAAATAATAGTTTTGTATTCTCAAAATTTTATTGAAAAAAGGAGTGATTTTGAGTTTTCTCCATTTTCTATTTTTTATTTCTCGATTTCTCGACTTACGATTTTTCAGTTTTTCAATTTATCGTTTCTTCAGTTTTTCGATTTTTCAATTTTTCAAATTTTAGATTTTTTGATTTCCGTATTTCTCGACTTCTCGGCATTTCGATGTTTCAATTTTTCGTTCTTTCACGTCATTAACTTTTCAGTTTTTCAAAATTTCAGGTTGGTGATTTTTTCAATTTTTGGATTCTTCCATTTTTCTTCGAATTTTCACTTCTTCTATTTATCGATTTAACAGTTTTAAATATTTCAGTTTTGGGATTTTTCAATATTACTTTCGCTTCTTCAATTTCTCGATATTTTCTTGTTTCGGTTTCTCGATGTTTCAATTTTTTAATTTTTCTATATCTCAGTTTTTCGATTTCCCAATTTTTCGTAATTTCGGTTTTGGAATTTTTCGATATTTTGTTTCCATTTTTCAATCTCTCAATTTCCGAATATTTCAGTTTTTCAATTTTTGGCGTTTCTAAATTTTCGATTTTTCTATTTCTGCAATTTCAGTTTTAATTCCAATTTCAATCAGTTTTTCGATTTTTCCCATTGCTCGATTTTTCAAGTTTTCGATTTCCCGATTTTTCAGTTTTTCAATTTTTTATTTTTTGATTTCTCGATTTCTCAATTTCCCGATTTTTCGACCTTTCGATGTTTCTATTTCTCGACCTTTGATTTCTCGATTTCACGACATTTCGATGTTTATATTTCTGGAATTCTCGATTTCAGTTTTTCGTTTTTTCAGTTCATTGATTTTTCAATTTTTCGATGTTTCAATTTTGGAATTTTCCAGCTTTTGGATTCTTCCATTTTTCTTCACTTCCTTAATTCTTTGATTTATCGATTTATCAGTTTTTAGATAATTCAGTTATGGGATTTTTCAATATTAATTTCGCTTCCTCAATCTTTTCGATTCTTGGTTTTCAGTTTTCCGGATTTTTAACTTTTATGTTTTTCAATTTTTTTGATTTGCGACTTCTCGGTTTTAGATTTTACGGTTTGTTAATTTTTCCGGTTTTAAATTTCTGGGTTTTTCGGTTTTCCGATTATTCAATTTTTCGATTCCTCAATTTAAGGAGATTTCGACGTTTCGATTATCCGATTTTTCAATTTCTGATTTTTCAGTTGTTAGATTGTTTGACTTTTCTTCAATTTTAAATTTTTCAAATTATCAATTTTGATTTCTTGATTTTTCAATTTCCCGTTTTCTTGATCATTTCATGTTTCAGTTTTAAGATAAGATTGATTTTGGTAAATGACATCCTTTAAGAAAAAAAAAAAGGTGGGTGGGTGGGGCTAAAACTTGCTAAGATTGAACTGAACAATATTAAGAGTAGTCACTGGAACTAGGAAAAAGCTAAATTTAGTCCCGCCCACCTCCTTTCATCATTTCACTGACTTATTTTATTTAGTGTAAAAGGGAAATTGAAAAATAACAGTCTTGCATTCCAAAAATTTTCTGGGAAAATGGGGCGAGCCGTTCATGATTTAATCAATAAAATAAATTGACTCATTCATTAATTTTTTGAGCCACTTGTTTAGGTGAATCTAAAAAGATGAATGCAATGATAAATCACAAGTAAAAACTCATTATTTGCCAATTTTTCGATGTTTCGATTTTTCAGTTTTTAGATTTCCCAATTTTTCGCTATTTTAGTTTTGCAATTTCTCAGTATTTCCATCCTTCAATTTTTCGACATTTTGTTTCGACCTTTGGATTTTTTAAATTTTAGATTTTGCGATTTTTCTGTTTTTCGATTTCTCGATTTTTCAATTTTTCGATTTCTCGATCTTTTCATGTTTCGGTTTTTCGATGTTTCAATATTTTAATTTTTCTATAATACATAATTCATTTTTTCAATTTCTCAATTTTTCGATTTTTCGACTTTTGGAATTTTCATTTGCCAAGTTTTCGATGTTTGGATTTTCTAATTTTTCGCTATTTCAGTTTTGGATTTTTTCAATATTTCGATCCTTCAATTTTTCGATTTTTTGATTTTTCGATTCTGCGATCTTACTATTTTTCAATTTAGCGTTTCTAAATTTTCAGTTTTTCGATTTCTTTAATAATCGATTTTGAGAGTTTTCAACTTTTCAATTTCTCTCCAATTTTACGATTTTTCGATTTATCATATTTTGCACATTTTGGGTGGAATTTATTCGCCAAAATTTTGAGATGACGTCATTTTTTGGGGAGAATAAACGCATACATTTTGATTAACAATGTATTATGCTTACAATAACTTCAAAAAAAGTGATACATCCATTACACTTGGCTTGTCAACTAAATCGAAGAACTTGTAGACGTCGCCACTGTCCATCATTTTATACAGGGTTTCTATAAATGATTATAGGGGCGAAGTAGGTCATGGAAACGTGCCGCCTCTCAGTTTGGACTAATTCATTAAACAAATTTTTTTGTGGTTAAACATCACAGTAAATATTGAAAATGTTCACCATTTTGTTCAAGGCACATGTTCACTCTCTTTTTAAATTTCAAAACTGTTCTGTAATATCCTTTGGTCAATACTTTGGACCCATTGTTCAATTTCATCTTGAAACAGGAACTCCTGACTGCTGAGGAAATCTTGTCAAAGATGTTTGCGGATTCTGCTCGGACTACACGTGTTCTGGACCCATAACCTGTTACTGCGATGAGCTATTCAAACGGTGCAGCGGGCAAACAACCATTACACTTAATTCAACAACTACAAGCACCTCTTCGATATGTGTTAAAACTATCAACGTGTGCTGTAACTATTTTATTACATTATTATTTCAGCACCGTATCGTCAAATAACTACGTGCCCACCATACATATTCTTGTCAGTTCTCGTCTACATTTTTTAAATAAATCGGCACCTATTTTTCTTTCAGCGAACTGTCAAGTCTTTCGACGTTCGACGTGCAACGAAATGCACATCTTGTAAATATTTATGCATTTACTATGCAATGGTGCTATAAATTCGCGAGGAAATGAAATATTCATAGCGCGTGCTTTCCAATAGGTATATACTTCGAAGGAACGTAAAATAGGCAACTGAAAACAAACAAAAGTGCCGAAAACTTAACAATAAAACGAAAATACGAACTCAATTTAGTAAATGCATTACCGAATCCGTCTCTGACATAACACTGTTTTTTTTTTCGTTTAAATTTCTCTAGATATAAATAAACACAGTGGTTTCCACACAAACTAAAGCTGCGCTTCCAGCTTTAATTACAGGGTAATGAATTTTCTCACCTCCTCGAAAATAGCACCCAGAAAGAGAGAGAAGCGGTGCATTTAGTTAATCTGGAATGTGAAGCTTCGATGTTTTGTGCATCCGTGCCCTTTACGATGAAATGAATAGTTGATTTGCACAGTAAATGCGCAGCGACTGAGAACCTCTCGAAAGTTAATATCACACATACTCGTAAATAATTCGAGACGTAAAATGGTGTGCAAATACCTTTATTGAATTTTTTCACAGTTGATAAATTTTTTGGGTAGCACTTGTTACATTACAAGTATATGAGTATATTTTTGTGTAACATTCAAATAATTTTAGAATACTATTCATTGAAATGACGTCATCAAATTGTTGGTGGGGATGATTAGCCAAATTTTAGTTAGCATTTAACCATCTACATGATATTTCTAATATACATAACAAAATTTGACAACAATTGATAACAATAAAAGAATAAGCTGTCTGAACGTCAAACTCTGACATTTTATCACGAGAAAATGATCACTTGGTGGTGTTTTTGTATGTACTTCCGTTCGCGTTTGAGCGTTGAATTAATATAAGTGACGTTGCAGTTGTTCACGTATGCAATATGTCGCTTCTGCGAATACATGTATACGTTGTGTACAAACCAGACACGACAATATTGTTATAGTGAAATAATTATAGGCAACGTAGTCACCTCCTGGGAATGAGAGAATCTCGCACCTCTGGTCCCCTGTGGCCTTAAAACATTTATATATAACCTTCAAAAGAGAATTTCATTCTTTTGATGGATTTCCTAATTAAAAAGTGTTTACAATTACAGCTTGACGATAATTTCGGTCAAAAACTCTACACTGTTAACTAGTTAACTAAATGAGGACGCGTTGCACGCTTAGCCTGTTATAAAAATATCTTATACATGACTTTAGTGTTGCGAATCGATTCACAGTACACCATCGTACAAAGTAGCACCAATTTTATTCTCTTCTAATTTAAGGCTTTTCTCGAGTTGCTTAGCAAACAAACCGTTTGGTTAATTTCACAAACAGATGCGCTCTTCAAAACAACAGCATTGTCGGTTTCTCGTTTTTATTACAAACTACCTAATTTTTATTGCACCCTGGGATTTGGAACGCTCCAATCCAAATTTGTTTACGTCATTTTATTACACGGTCAGTTTTATGATGTTAGTTACGAATCTTAAATTTAGATTTGTTTTTTGCCGCGTTTACGTCTCCTGAGTGTATTTATATATAGAAAAAAAAAGTTATATCTATTGTTCCAAAAGTAAGTATTTATGTAAATTTTGCACTCCCGTTTCCCGTTTTTAATCTTATGCATGACGATTTTCAATCAATTCAGTGCGCGTTGCACGCTTGGACTGGGTTAGCAAATACGTCACGATTGTGATACCGACCGGAAAAGTTCCTTTAATTGTGCCACTCGCTCGCTATTACGTGTAAACAAAAGCCTTCTCCGCCGCCCTATTCCCGCCCCCAATATCGCGCTCATCCATAATCTCCGTCTCGCTGTCCCTCATTGTTAGTCTACGAACTCACCACGTAAATTCCTGCGGGGTGGAGGTTCCTGGTTGGGTGGATTAGGTGGGGTCTCTTTCTCCTGTTCCGTCTTTTCGGTCCACTTCCTGCAACAACAGATCTCAAACTACTCGCCCTCCACCTCGCCGACTTCAAACATGTTTATAACCGTTAAAGCCAAGTACGAGTAACACTATATCAATAATGATACCCTCGTCTGTTTACTCTACCGCAACGCGTTCGCGTAGCAAAGCAAACAAACCGCCGTTTAATTGATCATAATTAACAGATACCTGTTCTCCGAGGCGGGAGCTTCTAGTAGTTGTGGAGTTGATGACGCTTTCGGACGACGGACTGGGCCGCCCAGGGGGGATCTCCTGCGCCCTCCTTCATGTAGAGGCTGCGAAACAGGAAAATGCGATTAGTTACTCCGGATCGTGGCGGTGGAGGTTCCGATTCACACTAAAATCACGTCAGGTTTGACAGGTGGGTCACGATGCGCTCAAACATGCTGCATGTACAAAGTGGCTATAAATGATTCTGGTATCAAGGGCGGCTTTGAAATTTCAAACAAAGTGTGCCGCTTTTTGCAACAAAGGGGTGATTCACGAGTGATAATGAGCCTAACTGAGCCGAATAGGCAACCCAAAATACATTGTCAGGGGTTTCATATCGAAAACATTAAACACTTATATGAGCTTTTTGCAGTTGACATGCCAGTCAACCATAAGCATTCAACTGTACAGTAATTCACATAACTAGAGTAAATTCCACTGAAAAATCCAATGGCATCAAGTCAGGAGAGTATGGAGGGTTTGTAGGATAACCTCTTCCGAAAATTATTGATTGGTATAACGTTCTTCTGAAGAATTCAAAGTGGCACCTGCTTATGTGCTGTAGCTCTATCTTGCTACATTTACAATATTTCTTCTGTATAAAGTGCTTCAGTAGGATACTGCTGATTGCTGAGATAAAGTTATCTGTATCTTTTTGTCGACTTGCCCTTGTTAGCATTCCCAGTTCATTTGAATGTCTAGACATTTGCCAAAAACCCATTTTTTGTTATAGTTTGAACACTAAACAACGAAAGTTGGAAAGATCGTTTGATTAAGAAATTCCAGCGTCGCCCTTGACACTAGAATCATTTATAGACACGTTGTAATTTGCGGACGATCCATACGGGAGAGTCGGCCACGGTGGAGTGATGCTTGCGTTTTTGACGTATCAAAGCTGTCAGAAACAAACGTTACGCTAATGTGGTGTTTGCTTGTGGCGCCGGTTTTGTTAAGCGGGGGGAGATCTCTAGAAGCGGAAAGTCGCTGTGGTCCAGTAGATATAGATACGGGAGAAGCGGAAGAAGAACGGGAGTCCCAGTTAAAACATAGATAATTATTTACGTTTGAATGTTGTGCAGTTCTGTGATTTCGTGCTTTCGAACTTGGAGGTGGAAGGGACGGACCGTGGCACGGGCGATGGGACAACGACGTAACTATCTTAGAAACTATGGTTGGTTAATCTTAACAATTAGTCGTCAAGCTGATAGTTGTGTTAGTTGTGTTCGAGTCTTTAATACCCTAAGACTATTTGTTTTTAGATAAACATGGTCGGTCTAAATATAAAACCTCGTAGGTGTATTTTTGTAAAAATCGTTGTTTATAACCCTACAGTAGTGTGTTTCGCTGCCCTTTAACAGGTTATGGGTCCAGGACAAGTGTCATCGCAAGTGTTGAAAAGCGCGAGTGGATCTAAACAAATGATGAGTTTACGTCCTTGGTGGAATAGGAGCGCTAGCGGGCCGCCAATGGTCAGCGAAAGCCGTGACTCGAAGGGAAGTGTTGGAGCGCCAGCTATGCACCAACGTGCGAGTCCCGGATCACGATAGTTCCGTCGCCTACGCCGACGTTATGTCTATACTCGGTGCCGCCATGCTCATTCCCTTCTCTGTAGACATACCACGGCGTGTGTTTTATATGTATATTTGTGATGTAGTGTGTGCCAATTAGTAGTTCTCGTCTGTTTCGTTGTCCTGAAATAGGTTATGGGCCCAGGACACTTCTAACGCAAAACCTATATTTTTGACGTAAAATTCGAGTTTGGTAATGCGAGGTTTTATAGTTAGGCCGCCACGTTCCATTACGTAAATACCACAAATATACTGAAGTATGTTTTATCTGAGACATCCCTGCATTTCATCATGTGCATGAAATTACAGCCTTTTCCGACCACATTAATGGGAAGATTGCTCACAGCCACGTTCAGCCAAAAGTGGCACACAACGTTCCCACTCTTGTCTAAATTTGCATCACAATTTTCCAATTAATCTGATTCGAATTGGGGGTGAAACAGGGATTTTATTAAATAATTTGCTTCACACCTTCTATGTTTTCGAAAAACAGGTGCTCCACGTCGTGCGGGCACGACCTAAAATTATTAAACTCATCAATAACATGCCATTACAGTCCACGAAATCACCCCTATAATACGACTTTAATGAGAGATGATTAAGTCGTCTCTCGTTAATCCATAAATGTCGTGTGCGGAACAGAACTATTAGTTCCTACCGCTAACGAACTTAGCTTATTGATCGATCGGTGTATTGTTATGATGAGGATGGACTGATCAATTTCAATTTGCCCCATTACGAAAGGTTAGAACTGGAAATGAGCCACCGCGAGCTAGGTGTACAATTAGGAAGTTGAATAATCGCCAAGTCGGCGTTTTAAGTTTACACAAAAGCGCTCATTAAGTTTATCGATTAGTTGCCTATAGCAAGTAACGAGAGGCTGCAGGTACTGAAAAATAACTAAACTTCAAACTTAAATCAGTTATTGATTGTTTTAATTTAATAATAGATACCTAAATTACTCCTAAAAATAATGTAACGTACAGTTCGCGACTACTCAGGACGCGTTGCACGCTTATCCCGGGTCACGAAACCTAAAAACCTAAACCTGCCGTGCCACGGATTCCACAATCGCGTGATCGTTAACGCCAGCTTACTTTCGCGAAATTTTGCGCTAATCCCTCAAGCGCAGATCTTACACTGTGCAATTTTAAACCGGAACGTCGTACGACGTTTTCGCTTCTTGCAATTAATCTTTAACCGGATACGCGACTCCAAGAATTGCAGATATGAGATAAGGAGTTCCAGAAAATAGGAAGTCGTTAACCGTTTGGCGGAATTTCATTAGCGGTGTTGCTCGTTCCATATCCACAAAACAAATCGTTGTCGTTTCGCGTTTAGGCTAAGCGTCCTCGTGATTTTCAGATGGTGAAATTCGTCTAGCTTCCTAATTGGCCATAAAATGCTCTAATTGTGAAGACCGTTGCGTTATACAACACCCTGTTGAATCGATACTGTCGTGCTAATAAATTTCTAATTGGAAAGGGGGAGTCTGGATTGAAGGCTGGTACTAAATTAACGGATAACGAATGTGTGCGAGCTGATATCGTTGTTATTGGATTGTGTTGAAGCATGGATTGACTTGTTATTGAGGTGGGTATTGTAATTTATAGTTGCGAGGATTAATACGATTGTTTCTTTTACCATTTTTGAGAAGGAAACAATGATAAAAATGCTGCTATTTTGCTTAAAACCCGAGATTTCCGATTAATGTGGTTGATTCCATAAAAAAATCGATGCCATCATTGAAACTATATCGACGGGTTGTGTTTGTTACATGAATACTTGGAAATTTATTGTTTGGTAGTTATTTTGCTGCTATTTCGAGTTTGCTAATTCTTATCGTAAGTACATAGAAATCCGAAAGGTAAAAGAATGTCTGTAACTTTATGACCATAATTAACTACTGCTAATTGTTTCATTCTTTAGAAACTACTGTCCTCCACTAAACAGGTTTTAGTTTTATTTCAAAAATTTCAAAAATAGCTGCCAAACATTATTAAGACACAAAATGAAATTTCGAGTAATAAATACTGAATATGGGCCTGAAATGGCTACTCATAAATATACACTCTACTTAAATATTCACTACGTTGGAGACCTACAAAAGCAATGACACAGCTATAGCAATAACCGGAATTCAGCTCTTCGGTCCAAATTTTCTTTCGCAGGAGTTGTGGAGTATAGAAAAAGAATAAAAGCCCTAGGGAATATTTAACAGAGAAACGTTTTTATTTTATTGTATTTATTTATTTACAATAGAATCCAATTTCCTTCAGAATTGTTCGAAATCTTGCCTTCGCGCAACAAAGAAATTATCACAGAGATGTTTTCTAAATAATATCTCTTTATTAATTAAAAATAGCACATACAAGGAACCAAAAGGGGACTTTAGAGTTAACCAAGTGCGAAAATTTAGAAGCAAGGCAAACAGCCCTATAATGATTACAACCCCGAATAACAATTTAATATTGTTACCAGATCCTCCACTTCCATTTACCATTTCCCGGTTCTGACGTGCCACCGCGCTGCAAAATTAGATTTGACATTAAAATCGCATTATTAATAACCGAATTAACAATGGTAATTCCTGTAATTATACGGTTTGATGCAAATAGCTGAATGCAACGTAAAGATAAGTTGTGCAGCGACTTCTGACACCTGAAAATCCGCATTCACCCGAAACGTCTCACGTTGTGTGAAGTCTAGCATCGATTTGGAGATGTCGCCTCTCTCATTACCATTGCATCTCGATCTGATTAAAACCGACTGAAATCACCGTTTCTAAAATACCAAAACGTGGACTCACCCTGCACGCCCTCCAAACACCATACATAATTAATTTAACCCGACACAACTCAGTTACATCCACACAGAGCGCCAGTTTTGCAACTCACACTGTAGTAGATGATCATTCTTCTCACTTGTGACAGTTATTCCACTCATAAGCGACCGAGCCGGCGTAGTTTTGCTCTTTCCCAGACGCCGCTCGCGAAATAATCGCACAGAAAAACACCAAACAATTAATTATTTTTTTTTTGGTTCAAGCTTACAATAGTTGCATCGGAGCAACTGTTACCATTCGCAGGATGGTAAAATGCCCGACGTAGCGGATCGGGTCGTCAATCAAATTATGTATTTAGGTAAGTAGCGAAGTACGTGCATCCTCGAACGATAAAACACAATTAAAAAAGTCACTTTTATCGGGGGACGGATCGAGGACGGCTTCAGATGACAATGAACTTAAGATTTGTTACGTTTAAGCGAGTGAAAAGGCAAAACGGGAAATCTTTACATTATTCAGCGCGAATCAAAGAATTTCGCGTATAAAATTATACATTGTTTGAAGCAGCTTTATGTTTCCGTATTACTTCATAAAGTGATTTAATCCCTCTCTTGCGCACATTCCTTCAATTTTCACGGTTCACGTGACGTTGCAAAGAAAAAATTCTCCTCGTAAATTTGCTGGAAAATTCTTATAATGCATCTTTTCCGTG